GGAGGACAGCAAGAAATAACCTGAAACTGGCTCCTAGATGGAGGACAGCAAGAAATAACCTGAAACTGGCTCCTAGATGGAGGACAGCAAGAAATAACCTGAAACTGGCTCCTAGATGGAGGACAGCAAGAAATAATAGAAGAAAGAGGAAGGCCACTCAATATTAGTAGGTGGCAGGGTTTTTTGTTTTGTTTTGTCTTTTGAAGATTTTATTTATTTATTTGAGAGAACAAGAGAGTGAGCATGAGAGTGGGGAGAGTGGAGGGGGGAGACTGAAAATCAGGCTCTCTGTTGAGCAGGGATTCTGATGTGGGCTTGATCCCAGGACCCCAGGAACATGACCTGAGCCAAAGGCAGACACTTAACTGACCAAGCCACCCTGGCATCCCTTTAATAAGTAAGGGAACTTCCACTGGAATCTTGTCTTAGATGGCCACAAGATGAGTAGACTTCAGGCAGCCTGGGTGGCTCAGCGATTTAGCATGATCCTGAAGACCTGGGTTGTACAGGGACACGTGGGTGGCTCAGTGGTTGAGGGTCTGCCTTTGGCTCAGGGTGTGATCCCAGGATTCTGGGATTGAGTCCTCCATCGAGTTCCCAGCGGGGAGCCTGCTTCTCCCTCTGCCTATGTCTCTGCCTCTCTCTGTGTCTCTCATGAATAAATAAATAAAATCTTAAAAAAAAAAAAAAAAAAAAAAGATGAGGAGACCTCTGCATCCACCCACCAGAAACTTAAAAGTTTATTTGGAAGACTTACCTGAGTTCAGTCACATATAACATCCAGATGGTCTCCACAGCATTTTGCTCTTTTAAGACTTGTGTTCTTCAAATGACTCCCTCTGTGGGAATGGTGGGTAGAATGTACATCCCAAGGACAGTGGAGGGGGGTGAGGAGCTTCTCATTGCCTTGGTCTAGCTTATGGGTCAACCAGTGGTCAAGTCCTCTTGATGACCTCCTCCAACATGTGGGAACCCCCTTACCACATACCTTGAACCCTATAGACTGGCTGGACCATCTCTGTATTTATATCTCTTCAAAGATATTTATTGAGCATCTGCTATGCTAGGTGTTTAGAATACAAACTTTTAGCCATGTAGATCCTACAGTTTATGAAGATAATCAACAATCACAGGAGCTAATGTGAAACAGCTTTTGTGGCAGTTGCTACAAAGAAGAGATAGCATATATTTGTAGTCGGGGGTTCCTCCTTGTCAGGGAGAGCATATAAAAGGCATAGGTGGGGCAGCCCGAGTGGCTCAGTGGTTTAGCGCCGCCTTCAGCCCAGGGCGTGATCCTGGAGACCCAGGATCGAGTCCCGCATCGGGCTCCCTGCAAGGAGCCTGCTTCTCCCTCTGCCTGTGTCTCTGCCTCTCTCTCTCTCTCTGTGTGTCTTTCATGAATAAATAAATAAAATCTTTCAAAAAAGGAATAGGTGAAATATGTAGATCTGCGTCCATGTTTTGTCCATACCTACACTGTATGCCACTGAAGGTAAAGGGCATAGATTAAGTAAAGGAAAGGACCTAGAAACATTGCATAGCTACATAGAGGAGGGTAAATAGAGAGAAAAAATGGCCAGAGCATTGAAGAGAAACCAGAACAAGGCCTCTACTCTAGGAACCAAGCAAGGAGAGTGCAGTGAAAACTAGTAAGAGCACAGGATGGGACAGTGTATCTAGATGGGTGGCTGCTTCCCTTTAGCTGTGTGGCCTTGGGGAAAAGGTTGTTTGGCCAGGTCCTGCATCTGTAAAATAGAGATGATACCTTCCTCCAAGAGTTATTGTGGAGATGAAATGAATTAGCATGTGCAGTGTGTCCAGCACTTTGCATGTTCTCAGTAAAGATTGATTCCTCCCTTCATTATGTCTCTGTCCACTTATTTATTCATCCATTTTGGTTATTACTCTCCTTGATGACTTAAGCATTGGTTTTCGTGACTTACCTCTGAGAGTCAACACTGGTCCTGTTCCTGTATAACCCTGTGTTAGTCTGGATGCCAGCAAGCTGCTGTGAGCCAACAGATCAGTTCTCTGGATATGGCAGGGAGCCAAGCATGCACCTATGTGCCTCTCGGTATGCAGACAGACTGAGCAACAGGGATGGGATAAGGACATAATATACCTTCCGTCATCATACTGAGTTTTTCTGTTCCAGGCAAAGGAACTCCAATTACCAAAGTGAATATCTAATTCTTGTCCCAGGACATCTTTGTGCACTTGCATTTCAGCCATCGCATAAACCTCCAAGAGTTTAGTAATAAATGACTCATCACAATTTAATATTTTTTTCCAGAGACAGCATTGGCCCTCCCAGATTTCTCAGATTGGCTAGAAGCAGCCACTCCCCCTCCCCTTTCTTTAGTTTTTGTCTATTGTATACACTGAATGGACAAAATTTTAGACAATATCCCCTACTGGTTGAGAACGTTTGCTCTGCCTGTCGCTTCTGATGGTTTTCACAGTGTGACCCTGGCTCTGGCAATCATTGTAACTACTCACTGGGTAATAATGTAATTCCCTGCTTGCCTAGATTAACCAAACACCAGAAAAGAGAGATGGACACCTATTTCTGTTGTGGGGAAATATGTGTCCATTCCCATATTTCTAACATGGGAAACCAAACTTTTAAATCTCAGAATTATCCTTGTATTTCTAATTAGCACACAGTTCATTTCATATTATTGACAGGGGCCATGTTTTCCAAACCAAACATGAGGACGTAACATTTGATAAGCATGGGTGGCTCAGCGGTTTAGTGCTGGCTTCAGCCCAGGGCATGATCCTGGAGACCCAGGATCAAGTCCCACATCAGGCTCCCTGCATGGAGCCTGCTTCTCCCTCTGCCTGTGTCTCTGCCTCTCTCTCTCTCTCATGAATAAATAAATAAAATATTTTAAAAATTTTTGATAAGCAAGAGAATGCCTTTAGGGACAGGCTACTCTAAGAATCAGAATTGTTAAGAAATTCCAGGGCTTGCATCAGAGAAGATGAATACCTGCTGTTTACTTCCACATGGATAGAACTGGAGGGTATTATGCAGAGTGAAGTAAGTTAATTGGAGAAAGACAATTATATGGTCTCACTTATATGTGGAATATAAGAAATAGTGACCAGAAGGGAAATGAGGGAAACTGAGTGGGGAAAAATTAGAGAGGAAGACAAACCATGAGAGACTCCTAAGTCTGGAAAACAAACAAAAAGGTTGCTGGAGGGGAGGTGGGTGGGAGGATGGGGTAAATGGATGACAGGCCCTAAGGAGGGCACTTGATGGGATGAGCACTGGTGTTATCCTATATGTTGGCAAATTGAATTTGAATAAAAAGGTAAAATTAGAAACAAATGTTTCAAGCTTTCAAGAATATGTTAAATATGGCAGGAATATTGTTGAGAATAAAAGAAGCCAAATGTGAAATAAAAAAAAAAAAAAAGAAAAAAATTGATTCTAGGACTTGGCCGTCACTGAGCTACTAAAAATGGGTAGCTCTTTTTTTTTTTTTTTTTAAATGGGTAGCTCTTAAATGATAAGGAAGCTAATGATCATATTTCCCTTTCAGAGTGGACGCAGTAATCATTTTAGCATAGTGACGGGGGCCATCCGGAGAGGTGACGGGAAAGGAAACTGGGGCCCTGCCAGCACCTGGCGATCCCCGCAGCCGGGCTGCACCGGGTCCCCCTCGCGCCCGCGCCCCGCCGGGGAAGCCCGCTCCGCCCCGACTGCGCCTGCGCCGAGCTTGGCCGTTCCAGGTGGAAGGTTGCGGGTGTGAGTCGTCATGGCAACGCGATGCTCCCGCCTTCTGGAAGCCTGGGCTTCAGCTCCGGTAGTGTGAGACTCGTCCGGGTGGGAGGGACCAGGGCTGAGTCCCGGGGCCGGATGGGGGGAGGAGGGGGCGCGGGGCTCGGGAAGCTGCTGAGAGCACTTGCCCCAGGGATTGAGCTAAACTAAGAAAAAATCGGTCCCAGGCTCAGCACGAAAGGATCTTTTCATTCCAGTCCTTTCGCCCACGCAGGGAACGATGCCTCTGGAAGTGGTGGTGGAACTACAGATCCGGGCGGTAAGAGAAGTCTCCTCCTGGCCCCCAAATCGGACTCTTTCCCCGGGGTTCCCAAATGGTCCGGGTCGTTTTCACCACCTCCTCCCCACCTCACCGCACACACATCATTATCCTTTGGGTCAGATCGTACCTCTGCGTCCCTAAGATCCTCTACATTGGTCTTCCCTGACTTCTTAGCCTTTAAACATTTACCCCCCAAGGGACTTGTTAGCTTTATCCTAAATTTTCCTGTTATTTTAGAATAACCCTGCATTATATCGAAAAAGAATTTTATTATTTTTTTCCAGGATAAAGATTTGTGAAAGAATTAAAATAAAACCCTCCTTTAAATAGCGAGGGAAAAATTCAATTTCAGCAAGTCCAGTCACTTCCTGATAACTTGCCTGCCACCTCTATGAACCAATCGAGTATTTTCTAGGTATTTCCCCTAGAGAGGGCTCTGGCTTGCTAATTCCAAAAGGGAAGTCAATCCGTCAACACCTGTTTTATAATTAACCCACTGAATCCTGTGGCCCAGTGACTGCATTGGTCCTGTTTGGGATCTGTCACTGTTATGAATTCGGCTTCTGTGTTCCAATCCTTCCATCCATAGTTGGTGACAGACTATCATGCAGCTTTGCCTCCCAGCTCTAGGGGCTTCTCTACTGGCCATGATTACCACCAGCACAATGTTGGTAAGTTACAGCCATGGAGAACCTGGCTAGCCTCCATACAAGTGACAAGTGCTGTGGTTTCATCATATACATCGTTCTGAAAAGAAGACAAAAATTTCCTGGATTTGTCCCATTTCACTGACGGCAAGTAGGACCAGACTCTATCAAATTGTGCTACATCAAGTGCCAACTCTCAACCTTTTGCGGTCAAGGGAAGGAATTCTTGAGAAGCTGAGTGTTAAAGCAGGCTTCTTCTTCCCCAAGGCAAAAATTAGACAAGTTTTCATCTCACTCATTCAATGTTATTGGTTATTTTTATTTTAATTTTCAAAAGGCATTCCTCAGTGTACAATTGACAGTAAAATCATTTTCTACTCTATAGTAGTTAGAGTGCTTCAGAAACATCAGCTGAATTGATCTGTGCTTTAAAAGCCTGCAAACTTTTAGGAATTCCAGAAGTATAATCAGGGACCAGAAGATAAAACTAATTTTGAGCCCCCAATATTCAGACTTGTGAACACTGCAGAAGGAAACATCACTGCTTTCCAAAAGATCTGGCCTGAATATTGCTGGATTAAAATAAAAGATCTAAGATTAAACAATAAAGCAAATCACTCAAAGCTTTACAGTTTGGCTGATTCAGGGAGAGAAGAGGTAGTCTGTTCAGGATGTTGTGGGAGTACAGATGATTTTGTTTGACTTTGAGGAGTAGCTGTTCCTCTTTCAATGTGCCTCTCACGCTCAGAAAATTCATACTTCTCCCCAGTCAGAGCTTATTCATCACACCATTCTATGTGACACATCCAAGGCCAAAAATCCTTTCTCTTTATAAATGTCAAAATAATTCACCACTATCTGAAAACACCAGTTCCATAGGTAATTCAAAGATTCTTATTTTCAGGCAGAACAGCATTTAAAGCACACACACTGCTTGGTTTTCCTGCTCAAAGAATAATGAGCAGAGTCCATCTTGCATTTGGTCGTCTTTGGTCTTGTGATTTGGGGAGGTGCCGTGGATAAACTGCTTTGAATGTAAAGGTCAATGTAAAGGGACGTTTAGGAGTTAGTTATCCCTTGTGCCTGGTGTAACAGTGGGCTCCCCTGGTGAATTTCAAGTTAAATATTGTTACCAAAACTATGCTATATATGGGGAAATGGAATTCCATATGAAAAGCTATACAGTGTCATCCTTGTGGTACATATGAGAAAGTTTATGCCCTTGCACTGCAAAGAATCAAGTTATTTTCCTATTACCTCAGCAGAGGAGCATAATTCTTTGTTCAGTAGAGATGATGGGCAACACAGCCCCATCTCCTGCCATACTGGTCCACTGACATAATACGTGGTAGGCCTACCCCCAGACGATTAGGTCCTGACGTCCTCAGTTAGCTTTCACACCACGCTCTTTGTCAACAGAATTAAGCATTCGATCATAGTCCCATCCTTCCTTTTCTGTGGGCATTGTAGACATGCCCACCATTAAGTGTTTCTTCTTCAAGTAAGTTCTTGGCTTGTTCTCTGAATGCAAAAAGATAGTATTAGAGAGTAATGGGAAATAAAGATCTATTTAGAGAGTTTTTGAGGAGGTAGAGGGAAAAGAAACCAAGATATGCACTATAATCTCTTCTCACTACCCATCCCATAAAGATGGAAGAGAATATACTAAGAAAGCTTATCAAGAAAATAAGGATTAAGAAGACACCCGTGGCAGCAGATTTTCAGGAAATACATGAGAAAAAAAAAAAAAACCTATGTCTTAATATACTGTTTAAAATTTACCTCAGGAAAAGAACTAGGATGAGTAGGTGGCTCATCTGCATGTATATTTACAGAATGAAGATCGTGTTGGTTTTTTTTTTTGAAGTTCACTTTACAAGTGATATGTTGACTTACAGGATTACTACAAAACACAAAATTTACTTTTGTCAACTTTAAAAAAAAAACGAACAGCAGGATTATCATCACCCCAGCTTGTTTTCTTTGCAGTTGTCCTGGAGATATAAACAGCGGTTGAATGAATATATAATAGAGGGATTTCTTTTCTTTTCTTTTCTTTTTTCTTTCTTTCTTTCTTTTTTTTCTTCCTGTAATATGGCTGTGGTCACAATGGCCAGGACGTTCTCCAGCCTAGCAACCCCCCAAGATGGAATGACACCTGAAATCCCAAAGGAAGCCTGAAATGTCCTTAGAGGGACAAGCAGGATCGCTGCTGGCTGACGTCGTAGGTGTCATCGCATGCGGGAACCTGCTGATCGCCTGGTGCCATAGAGGACAGAGGACGAGGTGGTGTCATTGTTGGTTCCACAGTAGGAAGAGGACCCGGGCGTTGTGCGGCGAAAGCCAGCAGTAGTCCACGATGCTGTACTGCGCGTAGCCCAGAAAAAAGCCAAACGCCACGTCAGTGACGTTGTGCCGCCCCAGCATCACCCTGGAGAAGCCCACGACGAAGGCCCACAGTACCACAAGCACCCTCAGCGGAATGGCCAGCACCAAGTGGTTCAAGATGAACCGAGACACCAGGGCGGCCCTGGTGGCGTGGCCCGAGGGGAAGGAGTACTTGTCCACCGACAGGGTGACGAACATGTCCATCTGATTGTGAGCGGGGCGGCGCCTGCGCACCAGCCCCTTGATCAGGGCCACCAGCAGCAGGTCCAACAGCAGGGCGAAGAGCAGGTTCGTGAGCACCTCGCGCCCGGCCCAGCTGTCGCTCCTGAGCAGGCAGTAGAGGGTCCCCAGCAGCCAGGGGATGCCGTGTCCCGAGATCTCCAGCAGCTTCATGAGGGGCCGCACGCTACCCCAGGACGAGCTCTCCCCCGCGCACACGCCCAGCTTCTTGGACAGCCACAGGTCGATGGCCAGCAGGGAGCGCAGGGCGATGCCCAGGAAGGACGGGTTCAGGTCCATGCGGTCCTCCTCGGGCAGCGCGGCCGCGGCCGCGGGCGCCTGCGACGGGCCGGCCCCGGCCAGCGGGAAGGAGCCGCGCCGGTGCACCGGGCTCTCGGGCGCGCGGAGCCGGGCGCAGGTGGGGTCGGCGCCGGGCGCGCGGCCGCCGAGCAGGGACTGGAACTCGAACCTGCCGCCGCCGCCGCCGCCGCCGCCGCCGCCGCGGGCCGGGCTGCCGGGGCTGCTGCTGCTGCTGCTGCTCGAGGCGGCGGCGGCCAGCGGGCGGGCGTCCGCGTTCCTCCGGGGGCTCGGCATGGCGGCGGGGGGCCCGGAGCCCGGGAGCCGACCCGCCCGGCGCGCCGCTCCGGGCCCGGCAGCCTCTTCCGCTTCCGCACTGCCATCCCGGGGGCGGGGAGAGGAGCCGGCGAGAGGACGATTGTGACACCTGGCGGAGACGTGGGAGGAAACGGGATTGGCACTTGGGGAAGGAGGGGACAGGGGGAGGGGGTGGTGTGGGAGGTCCAGGGGAAGGGTCGTGGGGGGGGGTGTGAGGGGGATGGGGATGGGGAATATGACGTCGTCGGGGAGGTTAGGGAAAACAGCTCCTGTGCACAAACAACCAAACAAGCCACCAAACCAAACACCTGTTCTCTCTCTTTGTTTTCTTCTTTGTTTTTAAGATTTCTTGTCCCGGGGTGTACCTTCCTGACAAGCAAGATGTATACCTTGGGGTGTACCTCCTCAATCAGTACCTGGAGACTGACTGCTTTCCCTCTGTGTTCCCTATTATGATTCAGCAGAACATGAGGTTTGAAAAGGTGATCTTGACTTTCTCACTGCCACGTCAAGAAGTTTAAATGTTGTCCGGGGAGCATCTCATGGTGCTTATAAAGAACACAGCTCTCGTAAAGTCAGTTGGTACCTTTTCTTTAAAAATGAAATTAAAAAAAAAAAATGGCTTGCAGGCATCTCAGCACAGCACAAAACCTGACTTGGAGGACTTGCTTTTGCATTGCAGGCCTGAGCCAAGTTCTGTCAACCTGCTGCTAAATGTCCTGGTGGATGTTTTCTATTCTTGGAATCCCCATGGCATTTTCTAACTGGAACAGAGAGAGCATTTTCTGGATGTTTCTTGGAGGTGTTAGAGGCTGTTGCATTAAATTTATGACAGGGATTATTAGGAAATTAGTGGACCTTAGAAACAAACTTTTGTGGAGTCAGAAAAATAATGAAAAAAAAAAAGCTATAATCAAATCAGTAAAATCCTGTATCTCAAATCCTGTAACAAAACAAACCTCTTCAGATTCATTGAATTTTCTTAGGTCATCCCTGGTTTATTTAGCTACAGTGATAAAGGCTACGTTTCATTCCAGTGAATATGAACCTGATGTTTTTTCTTTAAGATTTTATTTCTTTATTCATGAGACATACGCAGAGAGAGAGGTAGAGACACAGGCAGAGGGAGAAGCAGGCTCCAAGCAGGGAGCCCGATGTGGGACTCGATCCCAGGTCTCCAGGATCAGGCCCTGGGCTGAAGGCGGCGCTAAACTGCTGAGCCACCTGGGTTGCTCTGAACATGATTTTAATAGAACATTACCAACCTTCTTCCCACTTTGATTTAGAACATTAATTTCATTATTATGAATCACAGACAGTTCTTTGAAGTTTGCATTTTGGAATTTGGAGGTGGAATCAGTTTTAACCTTTGTAAGTCTAATGATTTTCCCCCAAACAATATCTCAGAGCTGCTCTTTGGAGGAGGTGTTACTAAGTATGGGAAGTCTAGATAGGGTAGAGCCTGTCACCTTTAAAGGTCTGGTTGGTGGGCAGCCCCGGTGGCGCAGCGGTTTAGTGCCACCTGCACCCCAGGGTGTGATCCTGGAAACCCGGGATCAAGTCCCATATCAGGCTCCTTGCATGGAGCCTGCTTCTCCCTCTGCCTGTGTCTCTGCCTCTCTCTCTCTCTCTCTTTCTCTCTCTGTGTCTCTCATGAATAAATAAAGTAAAAAAAAATAAAGGTCTGGTTGGTGTTGCTCAGAAAATGACCTATTTCCAGCTGAGACTGGGAGAGGAGATGAGGATTAATTTTCTGAAAGACTAAGGCTGTTTGTAATATTTTTTTAAAATCACAGTGGCACAGCCTTCAGCCCAGGGTGTGATCCTGGAGACCCAGGATCAAGTCCCATGTCAGGCCCCTGCATGGAGTCTGCTTCTCCCTCTGCCTGTGTCTCTGCCTCTCTCTCTCTCTCTCTGTCTCTCATGAATAAATAAATAAAGTCTTAAAAAAAATCTGTAAAATCACAGTGGAAATTTAGATAGAGTCTACCAAACTGGTTGGATAAGAGAGGAGAGGAATAAATAAATACTACCTTGAGACATATAGTCAGAATCCAGACGAACCTATTTCTCCTCTTTAGATATTGGTAGTGGTAGGAAGTGGGTGGTGAAAATCGTATATTTTCTCCCTTAAGCATATCGTTATTAGTTTATCAGGTTTCCTTCTGTAGAAGACTTTAAAAAGACTTCTCTTTTTGTAAGAAACCCAAAGATACAAAATCATAGAAGCACAGAATGATAATTTTGTAAATGACCCTGGAGGTTATCTAGTCTAACATCTTTGACTCACAGAAAAGGGGAATCAGCCTCAAAGACATTAGACTCCAGATGCCACTACTGCTCTGTTACAAAGCTGTGCATTTGAGCTTGCTGGTCAAACATATATCACAGACCTTTTTTTTTTTTTTTTTTATAAAATGCAATTCTTTAAAATTTTGAAATATTACCTTAATGTGTGGGCTGTTTGGGTTCATAATCCGGCTTTCTCCCACTTGGCTCCAGTTTTCTTTTATTTGTTCCATTCTCTAGCTGCAAATACTTGGAGCAAGTATCAAAAACATTTTCTCCTCCTTGGCCCTTCTGTGTAACCCAGAATTGAATGTTCTGAAACATTTGGATAAGTAAGAAATTACTCATCAAGAATGTATGAGACATTGTGTTTGAGCAGTTCATGTTGGCCATTTACTCTCCAGGATCATACTTGAGAAAATCCTTAGACATAGATAACATGAAAGGCTGCAAGTACTGGAATGATTCAGGGGGAAAAAAACCCTCACCTACATTTGCTTAATCTAAATCGGTAAGACAAAAGTAGATGACAGGAGACAGCCTCCTTTTTGTACTTAAAGCAGACTTGGCTTTGAATTAAGAGCAGATTTTAGGGCAGCCTGGGTGGCTCAGTGGTTTGGTGCCGCCTTCAGCCGAGGGCCTGATCCTGGAGACCCAGGATTGAGTCCCACGTCTGCCTTCCTGCATGGAGCCTGCTTCTTCCTCTGCCTGTGTCTCTGCCTCTCTTTCTCTCTGTGTGTCTCATGAATAAATAAACAAAATCTTAAAGAAAAAAGAGCAGATTTTAACCATGCTTAAATTTATTTTATTTATTAAAAGATTTTATTTATCTATTTTTGAGAGACAGAGAAGCAGAGACAAAGGCAGAGGGAGAAGCAGGCTCCCTCTGGGGAAACTGATGTGGAACTCAATCCCAGGACCCTGGGTTTACAACCTGAGCCAAAGGCAGAGCCTCAACCACTGAACCACCCAGATGCCCTTAACCATGCTTAAATTTAAACACCATTTAAGAGCTTAAATGCCTGAAACTAAACTCTGCTGAAAACTTTTGTTTGTTATAGGCTTCCAGAGTTTAAGGAGAAGGTTGTGGTATGCTTTTAATTTCAGTCCTCTCCCAGACCATTAAGCTCAAGGACAAAATAAGCCAAATTGGCATTGGCTAGATACATATCACAACATTTGTCTTGGGCTTCATCATATACTTTAAACTTATGAGGCCCTCCCGCTCTCTAGTTATTTTGGATTCTGTAGGACTGTCACTACTAGTACAGAGGTTTTCTTTTTTGTTACACATAGAATTTTTACTTGTGTTCCTTCTTAGCACAACCATTTGCTAGTCATTTATTCAGTTAACATCAGTTAATGAGTGTCTGTGGTATGCAGGATTTTTTTAGAGACTCAAGCAAGACGCTGAGTTTGATACCACATGTGCTTGTAGCAACAAACTTGTAGGGCTAGGTCAAGTTGATGACATTTTGAGAATGTGGTAGATTCAGCTAACTCAGGTTTTCCTTGTACTTGGTATTGTGTTCTCGTTCTATAATTACTTGTTGAATTTTTAACCATATACCTGTTAAAGATACTCCTGTTGAATTTTAAAATATTATATGGCTGGAGTTGGCATGTGTTAATTATTTGGAAGAATATAATCTACAGTTTCTATAAGCATATATTAATAAATCTTTGAAAATTTATTTTCACCATTTTTTTCCTGCAGGTATTTGAAAATGCAACAGATCCTGGGGCTGTAGCAGACATTTTAGAAAGTAAGTACTCTCAAGACAAAACAAAACAACTATCATGTGTATGTAATTGTGTGTACAAATATAAAATTCTGCTATATTCTAAGTTGTGATATTTCCGTGTTTGATCCATATTTATATTCAAGAGAGTCTATATCAAATTTGAATCAAGTTTTTTATTCTATTATAAACTCTTTTCTAGATAGAGATGGGATTTATTGGATGGTACACTTCTGTTTATTAATTTCTTGCAATTAAATGGTTTTTGTATTTCACACAGTTGTGTCACTATCACCATAATTAATTTTAGAACATTTTTATCACTGCAGAATGAAACCCTAAGCCCATTCTTCCTTATCACCCCCAGCCCTAGGTAACTACTAACAAATCTTTCTCTGTAGATTTGCTTATTCTGATATTTGATATAAATGAAATTATACAACATGTGGTCCTTTGTGATTAGCTTCTTTCACTTAGCATAATGTTTTCAAGATTGATCTTTGTTACAGCATGTGTCAGTATTTCATTTGTTTATATGGCCAAATAGTGTTCCATTGTATGGCTATACCACATTTTGTTTATTCATTCATTGGTTGATGGACCACTGGGTTGTCTTCACGTTTGGGCTATGATGAAAAATGTTGCTATGAATATCTGTGTACAAGTGTTTTTGTGGACATATGTTTTTATTTCTCTTGGGTATAAACTTAGGAATGGAAGTGCTGGGTCATATGGTAATTCTTCTTACTCTCTGGAGAAACTTTACTAAAGCAGCTGGGTTCATAATCTATAATCATATAATCATTTTACATTCTACCAGAACCATGTGAGGGTTCCATTTCTCAACATCCTCACCAACACTTATTATTACCTGTCCTTTTGATTGGTAGCCATCTTTGTGGGTTTGAAGTGAAATCTCATTGTAGTTTGATGGTGTTGAGCATTTTTTTCATGTGCTTCTTAACTGTTTGTAGATCTTATTTGGAGAAATGTGTTTTCAGAGCTTTTGTTTATATTTTATTTGGATTATTTGGTATTTTATTATTGAGTTGTAATATATAGTGAACTTGTAATGTATTGAGTTCTTTGTGTATAAGTCCCATGTCAGATGTATGGTAGATCAATATTTTCTTCCATTCTTTGGATTATATTTTCACTTTTTAAAAAAGATTTTATTTATTTATTCATGAGAGACAGAGAGAGAGAGGCAGAGAGAGAAGCAGGCTCCATGCAGGGAGCCCAATGTGGGACTCGATCCTGGGACTCCAGAATCATGCCCTGGGCTGAAGGCAGGCGCTAAACTGCTGAGCCACGCAGGGATCCCCTCTTTTCACTTTCTTGATGGTGTTCTTTGAAACATAAAATTTTAAAATTTCAGTGAATTGTATTTTATCTGTTTTTTTCTTTTGTTATTTGCACTTTTTGATGTCATAACTAAGAAAGCATTACCTAATTCAAGTCACAGAGATTTATGTCTGTTTTCTTCTAAGAGTTTTATAGTTTTAACTTTTTTTTTTAAGATTTTATTTATTCATGAGAGACACAGAGAGAGAGGCAGAGACACAGGCAGAAGGAGAAGCAGGCTCCATGCTGGGAGCCCCATGTGGGACTCAATCCCAGGACTCCAGGATCACACCCTGGGCCGTAGGCAGGCGTCAAACTGCTGAGCCACCCAGGCATCCCTATAGTTTTAACTTCTATGTTTAGGTCTATGACACATATTAAGTTGATTTTTGTAAATAACATGAAGTAGGGGTCCAACTTCATTCTTTTGGGTCTGGATATCCAGTTGTCCTGGTACCATTTGTTGATAAGAGTATGTGACCCCCATTGAATAGTCTTGGCACGTTTGTTGAAAGTCAATTGAGTGTACATAAGGAAGGTTTTTTTTGGACTCTCAATTCTATTCTCTTGATTCATATATCTATCATTATGCCAGTTCCACACAATTTTCATTACTGTAGCTTTGTAAGTAAGTTTTGAAATCAGGAAATGTGAATCCTCCACCTTAGTTCTTCTTTCCAAGACAGTTTTGCTATTTGGATTTCCTTGGCTTTCCATGTGAATTATAGGATCAGCATGTCAGTTCTGCAAAGAAGCCAGCTAGGATGTTGATAGGTGTTGCACTGAACCTGTATATCAACTTGGGGAGTATTTCCATCTGAATAATATTAAATCTTCCAATCCATGAACATGGGATGTGGTGAGAATTAATTGAATGTAAGGAATTTAGAGTTTGAGACAAATGAAGTGCTTAACATTACCATTGGAGTGATGGTTGGCAGAGATATATATTCCTTCTTACTGCTTCGAAAACCTAAAATTACAAGCTGTCTTAGCTGTTACGTTTTTTGGCACTTAAAATTTTATCCTCATACATGCATAAGCCAACAAAGAAACAATTTTACTTTTCTTGTATATGTGTCTTTCATGAATTAAAAAAAATCTACTCTCATAGCAAGTTTCAAATATATCATACAGTATTAGTAACAATAAGTGTCTTTAATTGTCAACATTATTGTCTATTTTATAATGTTTTAATTTCTAATATTTTGTTGGAATTATCTCTATTGATTTTTGATTGTTATACCATATATGTTTGAATTACTTTAAGATTTGAATTTTATTCTTGTCCTTATAGATTTTGTACATGAGCTCACTATTTGTAAATGCATTTTGGACTCAGGAAGTATAAAAAATGCATATTTTATGTCTTAATTAATCAGAAGACATACTGTTTTAAGCACTATACCTAGTCTAGGTTAATGGACAACAGTCATATTTTGAATTATTTATTTATTTTTATTTATTTTTTAAAGGTTTTATTTATTTATTCATGAGAGACACACACACAGATAGAGAGAGAGAGAGAGCGGCAGAAACACAGGCAGAGGGAGAAGCAGGCTCCACGCAGGCAGCCTGACGTGGGACTCGATTCCGGGACTCCAGAATCACGCCCTGGGCCGAAGGCAGGCACCAAATCGCTGAGCCACCTGGGCTGCCCATATTTTGAATTTTTGAAATGAGAAGTTGATTATTATGTCATTGACTTATGAATACCTTTTTAGGAGAGAAGATATTGCATCCATTTCATCAATACTTGTCAGGGTATAAAATGCTGTTTCTAGACTCAGTTACTCTCACTGCATGCCCTTGAATGACTGGCTTTTGAAATACCTAAATTATTGTTGGTATGGCACTTATTATTATTATTATTATTATTATTATTTTAAATGGGATGTTATGGTAGTCTTGAACTTAGCAATTACTGAATAACTCCAGCAATTTTCTAAGGTATTAAAATCTCATTTTTTCCCTTTTAGGCTTCCTAACCAGGTTTGAATTAATACAGCTAGTATCTCCAGGTAATGTAGCAGTAAATGCATTTCTAAATTAGCTTATTTTATTTTGAAAGGACTTTGGCATGACAGAGTGAGATTGATATTTACAAGTTGTGCTTTCTAGAACACTTTATTTTTCCCCCATACTGGTCTGTTGAATCCTATTCATTTCCAGAAAAGTAACTTTATGGGTTTGGTGGCAGTAAATATAACTTAAACAGGCAGTTGACTTTCCATTTTTTCATATCTTTATCTAATTATCATCAAATAATAAAATCTTGGTTCAGTTTCTTTCAAGTTGTTGCCTTTGGCTTTGTTCTCATTTATGGAGCATGTGTGTGTCTAAAACCCAAAGCTATCTTTTGTATTAGATGCTAGAGCAGGGTTGGCAAAATATAGGCCCCAGGCCACATACCACCTGCAGTTTGTTTTGTAGGACTCATGAACTAAATTTCTACATTTAAAAAAATTGAAATTCATATCCTATCTGTTTAATTCGTGCACTTCACTGTGGTCAAGTGTACAATTCAGTTGTTTTACTATCTTTACAAAGTTATGCAACTGTCACCACTATCTTATTCCAGAACATTTTTATTATCCCAAAAAGAAACGTGTAGTCATTAGTAGTCCCTACCATTCCCTTCTCCCAAAGCCCTGGCCACTACTGATCTACATTCTCTGTTGAAGGACCTGTTCCAGACATTTAATGTAAATGGAATCAGACAGTGTGTGGCCTTTTGTTTCTGGCCTCTTTACTTTGCATATTTTCATCCACATTGTGGCAAGTATCATTATTACTTCATTCCTTTTTATTGCTGCATAATATGCTTTTATATGGATATACCATTTGTTTATCCATTTGTTGGTTAATGGACATTTGGGTTATTTTCACTTTTGGAATATTATGAATAACTGCTATCAACATTCATGTACAAGTTGTTGTGCGAGTACGTTTTCAGTTCTCTTGAGTTTATGCCTATGAGTAGAATTTTTGTATCATATGGTACTTGCGTGTTTAACTTCTAAAAAAATTTTTAATTAATTTATTTGAGAGAGAGAGAGACCGAGCGAGCACACATAAGCAGGGGGAGGGAGAAGGACAAGGAGATTCCATGCTGAGACGTGGGGCTTGATCTCATGACTCTGAGGTCATGACCTGAGCTGAAATCTAGAGTCGGACACTTCACTGACTGAGCCACCCAAGTGCACCTCTGTGTTTAACTTTTTAAGGAACTGCCAAACTCTCTTCAGTGCTTGCAGTTTTGAATGGTTGGAAAAAAAATTTAAAACATGAGTATTTTGTGATGTGAAAATTATATAAAATTCAGATTTCAGTGTCCATAAAGTTTTATTGGAACACAGCCATACTCATTTGTTTAAATATTATCTTTGGCTGCTTTTGTTTATGCTGGAATTGAGTAGTTATGACCATATGGTTGGCAAAGCCTAAAGTACTTACTATCTGGCCTTTTACAGAAAAAGTTATTGCTAGAATCATGGGACTTTAGGAGGAAACTTTTCTGTGGTGCCTTTGCTTTGCGTGTGTCTTTTTTTTCTGTATGTGTCTTGAATGTCAATTTGGCTAGTTTCCTGGTGATTTTTACTCGTGTGTGTGTGTGTGTGTGTGAGAGAGAGAGAGAGAGAGAGAGACAGAATATTTAAAACTCAGAAACATGTCTAATTCTTTTCTGATCTTTGCTGTTATAGGTTTTTCCTTTTCTCTTCCCAAAATGAAAATAGCTTTACGGTTTTTACTTGTTGCAAAAAGCATCCCCAAATGATGAGAAAATCTTTATAATTTGGTGAACATGTTTCCTGATATCTCTGTGGACAGAACACCTAGATACAGAATTTCTACATAGTAGTGTTACATATACTTTCTTCTCTTTTTTTGCTTCCCCCATGATATATCATTGTTATTTTGTCTTTTTTTTTTTTAAGATTTTATTTATTTGGGCAGCCCCGGTGGTGCAGCGGTTTAGCGCCGCTGCAGCCCAGGGCGTGATCCTGGAGACCCTGGATGGAGTCCCACATCAGGCTCTATGCATGGAGCCTGCTTCTCCCTCTGCCTGTTTCTCTGCCTCTCTCTCTCTCTGCATCTCTATGAATAAATTTAAAAGAAATCTTAAAAAAAAAGATTTTATTTATCCATGAGAGACACACACACAGAGAGGCAGAGATACAGGCAGAGGAAGAAGCAGGTTCCCTGCAGGAGCCTGATGCAGGACTACCCAGACCTGGGATCACGCCCTGAGCCACCCAGGCATCCCTCCAACGTATATTTATTGAGGGTGTACTCAGAACATGCCCCACACTGTGTTGCTGGTATCACACTAGTGGTACCAGGCAGGATGGTGATGGTGAGCCATCTTGCTCTGCTGGTTCTTGATACTAGATAATTAAACAAGAATGATTTGTCTCATGTAGGGTCACATGGGCCACAGTTAGGTTTACAGGAACTAATCCTTCACTTGGCTGAAGTCCTTAACTTTTCGTTTTGCTGTAGATATTATTTTATTGTTGGATGTTTATTCACATTGCTTTCAAACACACCTAGAGTCAAAAGACATATTATGACCATTATGTTAATGATATAAGTACTTTAGATTTGAAGTTGTCTAATGATTTGGCTTAGAAGTGGTGGAAACTCCTCTGGTTCCTGTTTACAAAGATGGGAAAAAGCGAATGGACACAGGGGGGCAGCAGTGTAATCCTGTTTGGGAGCTTAGCATTCTCTTTTTACTGATATCTGATAAAAACCTCTCCTTGGGGAGAAGTCATCCATGTTCAGTCCAGCTGTAAAATGGTATTTTGGGGAGCACCTGTTCCTTCGATCAGAGTTGGTTTTATACTTTGTAGTGGCGTTTACTAGGCATCAGCAGTGAAAGAACTCTTGCCTCAGATAATAAGATTTTGAATTCCTACTTTGCCATGTGGCATCATAAGTGTCATCTATTCACAGAGCCAGTTTTCTTATCTGTAAAGAAGGCATTGGATGAGACTCTATCATGGGAAGCAAGCTGTCAATTCTGATATGCTCTGTAAGTGTTAGATATTCTTTTTTTTTCTTTTTAGATATTTTATTTATTTATTCATGAGAGACACACAGAGAGAGGTAGAGACATAGGCAGAAGGAGAAGCAGACTCCTGCAGGGAGCCCGATGCAGGACTTGATCCCAGGACCCCATAATCACGACCTGAGCCGAAGGCAGATGCTCAACCACTGAGCCACCCAGGCATCCCAGAACACTGATTTCTCTCAGACATTTCACTTGCCGTATGAGAACTGCTCAGCCTATGTTTATGTTTATTATTTATAACCAAGGCTCTTGCCATAGCATCCCCTAGGCATGCTGACATTTTTACACTAGGTGGCAGTTTGGACTCTATAATGTGACCAAAGCAGAGAGATAGAATTGAAAAACATCAGCCTTTTATTTCTCTTCTCCAGTTTTAATTTCTTTATCCCTGTGATTCCAAAGATAGTAGATGAGCATGCCTCCAGTTCTCTGACTTTTATTTTTATTTTAATTCTTGCTAAATACATGAATACTGATTTAGTAGTTGACATGTTGGATGCAGCGACAAGAGCTGGCCAAAAGCCTGTGAAAGGAAAAAGGACAGGCCCAGTGTGGAGAGCATCATACCATGCATTCAGGTGTTTGCTTTCATCGGAACATGTGATTGAAAACACAGGATTTCCAGGAGCAGGTGGTGCTGGGACTTCTGCTGGGTTGGTGTCATGGAGCAGTCCTGATAATGGCACATGCTCTGTACCTTACATATGCCATGTGCCCTCAACAGTAGCCCCAAGGGATAAGTACTATTATGACTTTTATGTTTTCCTGAAGAGGAAGCTGAAACTAGATTATTTATGTAATTTGCTCCTGGTCACATAGCTGGTAAATGGTGGGGCAGGGATTTGAACCAGCTCCGTCTGAACCCCTGGAAACAGTTCTTAACAGTGGCAGTATAGGCCTCAGTAGAAAGCTGTATTTCATTGCTAGTGATGGGTGAGGAGATTGTCACATCCCTGCCCATTTTCTGGTTGCACCTGTGAGATCTCTGAGTGGAGGAAGTCTCTCTGGCCAGCAGGGGTGGGAGGTCATGCCTATCACAGGGAGCACTGTCAAAGGAGTACTGATGAAAATGAGGCTGGGATGAAGCAGAAGATGGATCTTAGAGCTGCACCCACCTTCCCACCGCCTCTCCACCTTCCTCTTTATCATCAATGTACATTGTAGATTTATTCATATAATTGTTTACCACTTGTGGACTGTAAGCTCCAGGAGGGCAGGAATTGTACCTGTTGTATTCCCTAGAATACATTCTGTGTCTAGAACTCCTAGCACACAGAAGGTTCTCAAGGTGTATTTCTTTACTTGTTGTTTTTTTTTTTTTAAGATTTTATTTATTTTATTTTAAAAATATATTTTATTTATTTATTTGAGATAGAGCTAGTGAAAGAGAGAGCATGAGCAGGGAGAGAAGCAGGGGGAGAAGCAGGCTCCCCACTGAGCAGGGAGCCTGACGAGGGGCTTGATCCCAGGACCCTAAGATCATGAACTAAAGTGAAGGCAGACACTCAACCGACTGAGGCGCCCCTCAATGTGTATTTCTTGAACATATGAATGAAAAGGGATTGAAAAAATTGAAAGGAGGCAGCCTGGGTGGCTCAACGGTTTAGCGCTACCTTCTGCCCAGGGCGTGATCTCGAGGCCCAGGATCGAGTCCCATGTCAGGCTCCCTGCATGGAGCCTGCTTCTCTTTCTCTCTCTCTCAATCTCTCTCTGTTTCTCATGAGTAAATAAATAAAATCTTAAAAAAAAAGAAGAAGAAAAAAGAAAAAATTGAAAAGAAGTGATTGAGAAATGAATAAACAGAGGATTTTTCTCGTTACTATTGCAAGAGATTCCGAGTCCACCCACCCCCAGTGTCAACAGGCGATAATAGCATAAAGAACAAAGAATACTGACGAGGTACAAAAACATATTCATGTCTCCCTTCTCTTATGGTGGTGGACACTGAGTCTCAAAGAGAGTAACTGATGCTACTGGAGCACCTGATGTAGGCAGGGCCGTAAGTTATCCCACATCATCTGCCTGGTGGCAACTGCAGGATGCTGCACCACGCCTCTCTCCTGATTGCCACTGAAGTGCAGTTTTAAAATGTCCATCTTTGAGGGCACCTGGGTGGCTCTGTCGGTTGAGCTCCCGATTCTTGGTTTCGGCTCGGGTCGTGGTCTTGGGGTCCTGGGCTCGAGCCCCACGTTGAGCCTGCGTCTGGCTCTGTGCTCGGCAGGGGGACTGTTTCTCTCCCTCTCCCTCTGCCCCTTCTTCCACTAAATAAACCCAAAAATCTTTACAGTATCCGTCTTTAGCAACATCTCAAGGGGCATATGAGAGACGCTGGCAGAATGGCCCGTCTCCAGGCGAGGCGGCCTCCCTGGGCCCCGTGCGGCCTGTGCCCTGCACTCACACCACAGCCCTCTGGGGACCGCCCTGCCCGGGATACAGTACGCAACGGAGCAGTCACTGCTTTCACCGAGCATTGACAGGAGCGGGTCAAAAATCCATGTCCGAATGACAGTCCCGGTTAGTGGTGCATGTTGGGTAGAAAGTTAAGTAGGGTGATGGGGTGGGGAGTTCCAGGCTCCTTTAGGTTGTTGGGGTGCCACCCTTCTGAAGAGACGACACATTTCAGCCGAGGCCCATATTTGGTAGGAGGCGGCCAGCCACACAGAGACTCGGGGAAGGAACATTACAGGGACAACATGGGGCAAACGTCTAAGGTAGAGGTGAGCTGGGTGTGTTTGAAGAGTAGCAGGAAGGGGAGCAAGGAGGACCGCGAGTGATCCAGGAGGAGAGTGTTAACAGATCAGGTAGGAGGGAGATGCAAGTAGGCCCAATTACATGGAATCCTAAAGGCCAGGGTAAGATGCTTAGGTTTTATTCTAGCATGATAGAATGATATTTATTTATTCTAGCATGATAGCCCGTTGGAAGTTTTAAGGAGATGAAAGGCACAATCTGGTGTATTTATAACATCACAGTGTGGGGGATAGGTGTGTGTGCAGGAAGAATGAAAGCAGGGAGGCCAGCTTAGACGCAGTGGCAGTGCTCTGGGAGAGAGGTGACGGGGCTGGGACCAGTGCCTGTGAACGTGGGGAGAGGACACAGATTTTGGATTAATTTTGGAGATGGAGTCAACAGAACTAGCTAATGGGTTACTATGAGGAGCAAAAGAGTGGAATCAAGGATAAAGCCTAGGGATCCCTGGGTGGCTCAGCGGTTTGGTGCCTGCCTTTGGCCCAGGGCACGATCCTGGAGCCCCGGGATCGATCCCACGTCGGGCTCCCGGCATGGAGCCTGCTTCTCCCTCTGCCTCTCTCTCTCTCTCCTCTGTGTCTATCATAAATAAATAAATAAATCTTTAAAAAAAAAAAAGGATAAAGCCTAGATTTTTGGCTCAAGCATGTGGTACTGGTTTTTCTGATGGGAGGAATAAGGGAGAGCTTATTTGTGGGAACAATTCAAGAGTTCTGTGTTGGACCTGTTATCTTGGTGACATAGGGAGACATCTAAGGAGAAACTGGAAAGATGAATGGGATATCAACTGGAATAGGAAGGAAGAAAGGGCATTCTGGAAGGAACAGCATGGCATGTTGTTGTAAGTATGTGGTGGAGGAGGGAAGGACATCCTCAGTCCTGTAGCTGGAGCAGGTCTGAGATGAGATGAGAGGAAAGACACGATGTAGTGATGAGAAAGAGAGAATGTGTTCTTTTAGCACTTTGATCCTTATAGAACCCAAACACTATGGAGTGGAATAAGTAGGAAGAAATTCATCTGTTGTATCTGATAATGTCAGGTGTTTCCTACCGTTGGTGCACCAGAAATACACCCTCATCAGAATTCTTCTCCACATAGAATGGCAGTCACCAAACCATAAACCTACCTCTTTGACTACGGTTTCATCTTGGGTGGAACTCTGTGCAGGGGCCACTCTCGGTGTGCACCTCTGTGTAGCACCTGCTGTGTAGACAGGGAGGGCTCCGCTGGCTGCTTCTTCTCCCTTTGACTCTGTGACTCATGCCTCATAGACCCAAGACCTTCTTTTGGTAGTCAGTGTTTTGTAGCATCCCTTTTGCCATATGGAAGTAATATTCATAGTTAATAAAACCAGCTTACACACATCACTGCAAACAGTATATGTCAGCTGTAACAAAGGAGAAATAAAAATAAGATGTTTTATTGTTGTTTTAAATAAAATGATAGGTATAGCATAAGGAAGTTGAGCATAAGGAAGTATTTAGATGTGGCATGATTTTCAAAATGCCAGTAGGGTCTTGGTACAGATCAGAACACAGGCAGGTACAGTTGTTCTGTGATTTATGTGGTAGCTGCATTCCTGAAAATACACTGTATTTTAAGATCATGCAAAGAAAGTGCTTTGTGTTAATTGGTGATCGTAGGTTCTAGGCTCAACCAATTATCAAATGGCTTCTCGTTTTATAATTATGTTGCAATTATATACGTTATAGAATGTTAGGACATTAGAATGTAGTGCAGGGGCGTCTTGAGCACTGAGGGACATACTTGCACCTTTGGCTCCTGCCCATGTAATGTCCCCATACAGTTTGGAAATGCGTACCATGGGAGGCTGGTACCAGCCCTGCATAGAATCACAGCTTCGGTGGGCCATGGGGATGTTGGTATCCCTGCATCAGAGGACACGTTGCCCTCCAGTCTACCGTGTCAGCTCTGCATGAATGGTGCATTGTCTGCCTTGTCCTATTCTACCCCTAGGGCCTGGCTCAAGGCATGTCCTTAGAGACCATTGCTGAAGGAAAAGATAGGTGGAAGTATTGATGGATGGACAGTCAGATGGATGAAAAGAGATTTTTCTCTTTGTTTTGTGGAGAAATCCTTTACTTTTTTCTCTCTCGGTTATGACTTGGGAAGGCTTTTAAAAATTATCCATGAGGGGTCCCTGGGTGGCTCAGTGGCTGAGTGTCTGCCTTCAGCTCAGGTCATGATCCTGGGGTCCTGGGATTGAGTCTCACATCGGGCTCCCTGCTCAGCGAGGAGCTTGCTTCTCCTTGTCCCTTGCCCCTTCCTCTTATGCTGTCTCTCTCACTCTGCCAAATAAATAAAATCTTTAAAAACAATCATCTATGAGATAAACAGTAGTAGAAATCCCTTGTACTCCACCTCTTGAATAACAGGTGCTTTGATCAAAACGTCTATTTTTATCTGAGTGCCATCTCTGCTGTCACCTGTCTAAGCTTTTATTTTGTTCGAGTGTGGATTATTTTGAAAATGCAAATCAACTTCTGACTTTTCTCCTTCCCTTCCAGTGTGGGAAGAACTGGCTTGCTATGAAGACAACACACGGGACTTTCTTTTTCCCGAACCCAAGCTGACGCCTTCGCTCCCTGGGATGTGCAGGGAGGTGCTCATGAAGACATTTGCAGGTTTTCCAGTAAGTGATTCGTGCCTGCCTCAACTTCTGTTGGGAGAGGTTCTTGGGACCTGGACATTTTATTTGTGAGAGAGCTTTCCCTGGGGCCAGTTTTTACCTCATCTCAGTTAGAAGAGGTTTGTTTTTCTGTTTTTCTGTTTGGTGGCCCCATTTAGATGCCCCATTTGAAATACCAAATTATTCCCACCACTGATAGGAGAGGTGGGGGAGGTCTTCACCTGGTCATGCCAAATCATTGCTTTATTCACACTGTCACGTACCTATATTCGTTTGGAAGATATCTGTAATGGTTTCCAGCTCCACAAGAGCTCTGGCAGTTTTCCTGAGCTTTATGTTACTTGGATGGCCTCTGTTGGAGGGGCACAGATTTATGAATTTACAAAGCCTATTTAGGGGCGCCTGGGTAGCTCAGTGGTTGAGCATCTGCCTTTGGGGTCCTGGGATCGAATCTCACATTGGGCTCCCCGTAGGGAGCCTGCTTCTCCCTCTGCCTCTCTCTCTGTGTCTCTCATGAATAAATAAATAGAATCTTAAAAAAAAAGCCTATTTAATACTCACCTTTCCTGTTACTCCCCCATGAATCGCTACTGTTATGATTTAATAAAATATTACAGCCTCCCATTTTGCTGAGAGGACTGTGCAGAATATGTCACGCACAGGACCCTTGATTCTGTGATGTTTATGATGACAGAGCTTCTAGTTCAAATACTTCAGACAGCAAACATTCATCCAAAGCTGTGCTCATCAGAATTGCTAATGACCATAACTTAAAAACCCTCTATAATCTTAGAGGGTTTGTTGAATATCACCAACACCTTTTTTTTTTTCCCCTTGGAGATATTCTTTGTCACTTATATCCATGGTACTCATAAGAATGCTTGCCTTTATTATTTTGAGTTATTGGTATATTGCTCTTCAGAAGCTGGAAGGATAAAACTAGTGAGAATCATGTGGGGGATACTCTTTATATTAACTTTGGTTTGCCTGAGTTTGTATTGAGTAAAAGCCATCTGCAAACACTGGCTGGTATCCAGCTGAGTATCAAGAAAAGGAGAAACACATGTTCTTGTCTTTTCCCAAATGTCAACTCTGTTTAACTTTATGCGCATAAATAGGAAGAAGAACATATAGGAAGTTGTATTTACAGTTATTCGTAAACACAAGCGATCCTTAGAGAAAGGGCTTTACAATTGCAGAAGGATCCTCCCACATTACAGGTAAAGTATCAATGAAGTTAATGAAACTCTGAACAACTTTTAAAGAGGTAGAAGAGCTCAACATCTCTCCAATGTTCTAGAAAGCAAAATAAAACCAATTTCCACAGTTTTAATGATAGCTGATATTCGTTGCATGCTCCCTTGATGCCAGATACTGTGCTGAGTTTCATACATGAATTATCTTGTTCAAGCCTTCTTCACCTTGCAATGTGACTGCTGTTCTTTAGCTTGTTTTATGGATGTAGAAGCTGGTAGAGAGAGTTTAAGAAATGTGCTTAAAGCCACAGAGCTGGTCAGTGATGGAACAGGGATTCTCATGCTGGCCTGTAGGACTTCCAAGTTTGCACCCTTGGTCACTGTGAGAGACTGCTTTGCTCATGTTTATTTCAACCCAGTGTCCACTTTGTCTCTATTAATATCATAGAATGTGAGTGTGGATCATGTGTGCCAGGCAGGCAAATCATTCACTTCATTTATTTTCTCTTAAGTTATTAAGTCATTAAGAATTAGATTTAGGGATCCCTGGGTGGCACAGCGGTTTGGCGCCTGCCTTTGGCCCAGGGCGCGATCCTGGAGACCCGGGATCGAATCCCACATCGGGCTTCTGGTGCATGGAGCCTGCTTCTCCCTCTGCCTGTGTCTCTGCCTCTCTCTCTCTCTCTGTGACTATCATAAATAAATAAAAATTAAAAAAAAAAGAATTAGATTTATTTCTTCCACTAAAATGTGACTTTTTCTTTATATTTCTGTATTTCATTTTATTTCACTTGATACTTTATTATTATTTTTTTTATTTATGATAGGCACACAGTGAGAGAGAGAGGCAGAGACACAGGCAGAGGGAGAAGCAGGCTCCATGCACCGGGAGCCTGATGTGGGACTCGATTCTGGGTCTCCAGGATCACGCCCTGGGCCAAAGGCAGGCGCCAAACCGCTGCGCCACCCAGGGATCCCTCACTTGATACTTTAACAGCTTTTTCTCCCCGCCTTTCTTGCCAAGGTCAAGAATTTTTTTTTTGTTTTGTCTTTTTAAATTTAAATTTAAATTTTTTAAAAAACTGAGCTTTAGGCCCAACATAGGGCTTGAACTGACAACCCCGAGACTGAGAGTCACATGCTTTACTTACTGAGCCAGCCAGGTGCCCCAAGAATTAGGCGGCGCTAAACCGCTGAGCCACCGGGGCTGCCTGAAAAATTCCACTGTTAAATTCATTTGTTGACCTAACCATCATCACCCTCGTCCTGTTGCTAAGGAAACTGGACAAGAGAAAGCCTGCAAATTTCAGTTCTGAGCTATTATACTAAAATCAGTACTGCTGTGGAAAAGGGAGTACATTCCTTCTTAGTGTTTGTAAACCACTATCAGGAGGAGAGTTATTATTTTTTTAAGATTTTATTTATTCATGAGAGACACACAGAGAGAGGCAGGGACACAGGCAGAGGGAGAAGCAGGCTCCCTGTGGGGAGCCCTATGTGGGACTTGATCCCAGGACCCCAGGATCACGCCCTGAGCCAAAGGCTCAACCACTGAACCACCCAGGTGCCCCCCCGCACCATTTTTTTTTTTTTTTAAGATTTTATTTAAGGAGGAGATTTATGGAGGGGAACAAGAATGTGTTACGGAGTGTGAATTCCTTGCTGGGAGGGCACCCTCCTCTTCCTCCTCCTCTTCTCCAGGCAAAGTACAGCAGGACTTTGAAGGCTGGAAAGGCAGTCACATGTGCAGAGGTCATGTGTGGAGGCTTATCTGGACTCGGTCCCCATTTTGTCTCTCAGTGACTGTGACTTTGGGTGAATTACATAGTCTCTTTATGCCTTAGTTTCCTCAGCTGTAAAATGGACTGGTAATAGTACTCCCCCCATAGGGTCCTTGTGAGGGTTAAAGCTACCTGGAATGTTTAACATCCTACCTGGTATGTAGTCAAGTACACGATGTGAGCGGTTATCGTTTATCATACTGTCATTCAAGGGTTAACACTGCCTCCCCACAAGGTGATGAGACAATGGCACAATTCTGTGGCTCACATCTGACTTGTTCAGGCTCAGGCAGCTAGGCCACGGGGGAACCTGAGGTTTGGTACACATGCAAGGTCTCGTGATTCCACCAGTAGTGCTGTGGACCTTGGAACCCACCCACCCTCCTCTTCGTGTGGGCAGTCTCTTTCCTAACTGAAGGTGAGGCTGCACTGGTCCCGTCATTGTGCACTGTTTGTCAAATCCTCCCCTGGATTATCTGCTGTGCACCAACTGGGTTCGTGTGTTTGCAAGCCCAGAATCTTGAGTCACCAGTCCAGGTCTACTGCTTGTATAGGCATACCGCATTCTAAAGGCCAAAAAAAAAAAAAAAAAGAGCTGAAGATATAGGTGTGCCTGTAAGGACTTGTAAGGACTTGTTTTGTAGACCAGATGAATGCATGCATAGGAATGAATGTGTGTAAGAAGGAAGAAATATGCAGCTAACTCCTGGCTCTACTAATCCCCAGCTGCATGGCACTGGTCAGACTAACCTCTCCAAGCCTGCTTTCTCCCACGTAAAAATGAGGACAGAATGGTGTGATGCCCGGGTTGTGTGAGGGTTATGTGCATTCACCCATGAGAGCCTCTACTGAAACCTGGCGCGTGTGGTATGGATGCAGCCACATCAGTCTCCTCCCTCTAGAGCTTCAGCGGATGCAAACCCTTCTTGGAAGTACTGGTGATGTGTTATATAAGTAAATATGTGCTGGGGGAGCCTGGAGGGTGATAGGGTGAGGGTCGACTCTGAGAGATGGGTGGGGCTTGGGCAGGAAAGGAAGAAAGGGAAGGCGGCACCCCCAGGATAAGGAATTACCTGGCCAGGTGGTGGTATCTGGGGGAGAGCAGAGCAGAGGATCATGCTTGGGGAGGGGAAGTGGGGAGGTAGGGGGTGGCTGCAGGTGAGTTGATGAGGTCAGTTGGAGACACTGCAGCTCAATCAGATCCAGGTCCTGTCCCTGTTTTGCCATTTATAAGCCACGTGACCTTGGGAAAATTGCATTGTGTCTCTCTAAGCCTTAGAAAGATAATTGCATTTTTTCAATGACCATACAGTAAAATTGATTTTTTTGATATACAGTTGTATGAATTTTAACACATGTATAAATGTGTGAAACCACCACCATGATCAGGGTATGGAGCTCTTCCATCAGCCACAGATCTCTCTCCTTTTCCCCTTTGTAGGCACATCCTCCCCCTTACCCCACCCACTCATCTGTTCTCCATCAGGGTAGTTATAGTTTTATCTTTTTCAGGTCACATTAATGGAATCATATGGTCTGCAACCTTTTTAGATTTATTTATTTGAGAGAGAGAGAGAGTGAGAGAGAGAGAAAACAAGCTGGAGGCAGGGGCAGAAGCAGAGACCCCATTGAGCAGGCTGCCCGATGCAGGGCTCAATCCCAGGACCCCGGGATCATGACCTGAGCCAAAGGCAGACACTTAATCAACTGAGCCACCCAGGCACCCCAGTATGTAGCCATTTGAGACTGGCTTCTTTCACTTAGAAAAATGCCTTTGAGAGTCATCCATGTGATTGCATGCATCAGTAGTCTGTTCCTTGTTATTGCTGACTGTAATTTTTGTGTGTGTATAAGTGTATTATTCAATATGGTACCCACCAAAAATAGGAGTGTCAGTCAATGAAACAAAAGGGAAAATTTGGAAATAGATCTGGTAAACATAAATATTTGGTATAAGATACAAAGCACATTTTTCAAAGCAAGTAGGCGGGGAAGGAGAACCTCTATCTATCCCTCTTCCTAGATGATCTCACTCAATTCTGTGGTTCAGTGTTTTAAATAGAGTAGTGACTGCATGGATGTGGGAGCCAGAATGCCTGGGTTCAGTGACGAGCCCTGCCATCACTAGAGGACAGGTTACTTAAACTTTCTGTGTCTTAGCTACTTATCTACAAAGTAGAAATACTATTAGGATCCACCTCATGGGGTGGTTGTGAGGATAGGATTGGCCAAATATGCAGAGCACTTAGGTCAGGGCCTGGCACATAATACATGTTACATATTATTATGTTTATATGTTATTTTTCAGCTTTATTGATGTATATACAACAATAAATATTGTATACATTTAAGATGTTCAACTTGATTTTTAAAAAAATATTATTTATTTATTAATTCATGAGAGACACAGAGAGAGAGAGAGAGGCAGAGACACAGGCAGAGGGAAAAGGAGGCTCCCTGTAGGGAGCCCGATGTGGGACACAATCCTGGGACCCCAGAATCATACCCTGAGCCAAAGGCAGATGCTCAACCGATGAGCCACCCAGGTGTCCCTCAACTTGATGTTTTGATATACAATGTGAAATAATTGCCACAATCAAGCTAATTAAGTTATCCATCACTTTTTATTACTCGGTTAGCCTTTTTCCTCTGCCTTCCTTCCTTCCCTCCCTCTGTCTCTCTCTTTTTTCTTTCTTTTCTTTCTTTTTGTGGTGAGGACACTTAAGATTTACCCCATTAAAAATTTTCAAGTTGACAGTATAAGTATTATTAACTACAGTCACATTGGTGTACATCAGATAGACCTCCAGAACTTAGTCATCTTGTATAACTCACCAAAACTTTGTACCTTTGGCCAACATCTCTGCATTTCCCCCATCCTCCAGCCCCTGGCAAGCAACATTCTACTCTCTGCTTCTATGAGTTTGACTATTTTAGATTCCATACATAAGTAAGACACACCATATTTGTCTGTGTCTAGCTTTTTCATTTAGCATAATGTCCTCTAGATTCTTCTGTGTTATAACAAATGGCAGGATTTCCTTCTTTTGTAAGGCTGAATAATATTCCATTGTATATATATATTTGTTAGGTATATATTTTAGGTACTATGTGTGGATTATGCAAACCACACAAAAAAGTAATGAGGCTCTAAACACACTTTCAAGTTAGATGGGATGGGAAAAGAATCTGTTTCCAATAATTTTATTTGCTTCTTCTATGCTGTTTTATTTTTAGGGCATTGCTCCCAAAATAGAATTTTCTACAAGGACAGCCATCAGAGAACGTGTGTTTCTGCAAAGAAACAGATTTCCTGTAAGTATAATCAAGAAGCCAGTGATAGAACTGTCAGAAATTTTCTCCACAGATTTGGAGAATTTCAGCCCAGACTTGGTTACCAAGTTTAGATGCAATTGGATGAATAGAACCTAGAGATTTATTGCTAGGTTTGAATTTCCATATTCAAACTACTTGTTCAGCTACATTAGAGTGTGTGTGTTTGATGTGTATTCATCATGGTATAGTTGGTGCAAGAGGTGATATAAAAGCTAAAATCAGGGGATCCCTGGGTGGCGCAGCGGTTTGGCGCCTGCCTTTGGCCCAGGGCGCGATCCTGGAGACCCGGGATCGAGTCCCACGTCGGGCTCCCGGTGCATGGAGCCTGCTTCTCCCTCTGCCTGTGTCTCTGCCTCTCTCTCTCTCTCTCTGTGACTATCATAAATAAATAAAAAAAAGTTTAAAAAAAAAAAAAAAAAAAAGCTAAAATCATAAGTTTGACATAAGTAGGTTAGTTAGCTTTCTTCTTATTGTTTCATGACTTACTCTTGATTTTATGAATAATAGTGTTCCTTCTTTCTTTTGCCGAGGTTGCAGTTCAGAGTTGTACTTGAGGGTCCTCTTTAATAATCATGAAGGGTCTTGGGGCATCCTTGAGCACCCCCTACATTTCACCATCATGTTCAGCCCTAATTTTCCGCATCACACCAATTGCTTTTTTTGTTTTACATTATTGTACATAGTGTTTAACCATTTAAAATCCTTTCTAGAACAATATGGAGAATGAATGAAGATAATTTGTAAAGCTTCTTCAGATACTTTGCTTGTCATCTCAAATCCTGCCTGGTGTCTTGGAAAATCCTTGAAAATGTAGGCTCTGGGTTAAGGGTTACTGAATGCAAAGGGTTACTTAGTCGGTGCAAGCCCATTAATCATTTGGGCATCATAACTCATATAATGGGAGGCCAGTGAATAATTTCAAGGAAGGCGTTGGTTACTTTTTATTTAAAAAAATGTTTTTTAGATTTATTTATTTATTTCAGATTGAGAGAGAGAAAGAGAGAGAATGAGAGAGATTGAGCAGGAGGGGCAGAGGAAGAGGGAGAGAGAATCCATAAGCAGCCTCCATGCTGAGCATGGAGCCTGACATGGGGCTCACGACCCTGAGATCATGACCTGAACCGAAATCAAGAGTCAGATGCTTAACAGTCTATACCACCCAGTGCCCCTGCATTGTCTGCTTTTTAGTTTTTCCCTGTTTACTCACTCTTTTCTCCGGTTTGATATGGGTGCACAGTGATTTTTCAGTCTTTCTCTTCCACTCCACCATTTTAACCTTGTTTTGGCCTCTTACCATAGGTCTTCCATTAAGTGTAAACTCTTTTTTTTTTTTTAAGATTTTATTTATTTATTTGAGAGAAAGAGCCAGAAGATCACAGAGGGAGAGGCAGAGAGAGAAGCAGACCCAGGCTCGCTATGGAGCAGAGCCCAATGTGGGGCTTGATCCCAGGACCCTGAGATCATGACCTGAGCTGAAGGCAGACATTTAATGGACTGACCTCCCCAGTGTGAGCTTTTTTTTTTTAATTTTTATTTTATTTACTCATGAGAGATACAGAGCGAGAGAGAGAGAGAGAGAGAGGCAGAGACACAGGCAGAGGGAGAAGCAGGCTCCATGAAAGGAACCCGACCTGGGACTCGATCCTGATTCTCTAGGATCAGGCCCTGGGCTGCAGGCGGCGCTAAACCGCTACGCTACCGGGGCTGCCCCTCAGTGTGAGCTTTTTAAAGTGATTGTTTTTATTGTTTTTTTCTTATAACAAAAGTATTTAGTTTAGAAAATTGGAAAATACAGGTAAGCAAACAGGACAAAATAAAAATAATCTGTCATTCTTAGTATGTAGAGATGAACATGACTCTTCTTTTGAGTGTATTCTTTGGTACCCCCCTCCAACACACACATTCTTTTAATGTTAAAAGATTGAGATCATGCTGTACTGCATGTGGTTTTGTACCCTTCTTTATCACTTAATATGTCACGAACATGTTTTTCAGATCCTTAAGTATTCTTATGCCAGGCAATTTTTCATGGCTTCCTTGTAGGCCGTGGTATAGATATACCATGGTTTGGCCCATGGCTTTCCTTTTTTGGGCTCTTGGTTGATACTGTGGTCAGAGTCAGTCAGGAAAACAAAACAAACCTGTTCTTTTTAGTAAAAATAATAATAATAATAATAATAATAATAATAATAATTAGAGGCACCTGGGTGGCTCAGTGTTTGAGCATCTGCCTTTGGCTCAGGTCGTGATCCCAGGGTCCTGGGATCAAGTCCTGCTTCAGGTTCCCTGTGGGGAGCCTGCTGCTCCCTCTGCCAAGTCTCTGCTTTCTCTCTGTGTCTCTCATGAATAAATAAATAAAATAAAATCTTAAAAAAATGTTTGTAGCTATACACATACATGATCATTTCTTAATAATAAATTTCTTACTGTGAAATTGCCAGACTGGAGTGTGTGCCAGATTCATTCCCCCCAATCAATCATCTCTTTGTGATGAGGGAGGGGTATTGGATACCTTCCAACTTTCTCCTAAGGCAAATAATTCTGTTTCTGGTTGAAGTATATTATGCTAGCAAGTTATAAATACTAGTGATGTTAAGCTGAACTGTAGGAAAATTAAGGAGAGAATACCCTTTGTTAAATCCAAGTTTTGCAAATCTGAGATGTTTAGTATTCTTCCTTAGTTAAATGAGGTCCAATTAAATACAGTTATATTCTGATCGAATTTTTCTTTTCTTTCTGTTTTCCATTTTTAAAAAAAACATTGTTTTTTTAATTTACTTTCAGGAAGAAAGACATAAGTCAAGGAGGCCTTTATCTACAACACAGGGCCCAAAACTCCCCTTAAATAATGCGAAGATGAAGCCAAAGGAGAATAATTTCAACAGACTGCCCCAAAACACGCAATCCCGTGCACCTTCTCCCTGTTCCACCAGGGGCATCTCTCAGGACCAGCCAGCTCAACAGAACCCTGGAAATAACCTCAGAATCTCTGGGGGAAGCAAGCCTCCATTTGTAGTTAGACATGTGAGCCTAAAATTATTTTTTAGAGTCTGGAGGGTGAAGGTGCGAATGAGGGTTGGATATAGGAAGGTTGGGCCATAAAAACAAATGGGTGACATTTAAAAAAATTATTATTAAGATTTTATTTATTTATTTGACAGAGAGAGAGAGTGAGCACAAGTAAGGGCAGAGGGGGAGGGAGAAGCAGGCTGCCTACTGAGCAGGGAGCCCAACATGGGGTTCGATCCTAGGACCCCAAGATGATAACCTGAGCCAGAGGCAGATGCTTAACTAACTGAGCCATTCAGGTGCCCCCAAATGGGTGATTTTAAATAAAGAGGGAATTCAAATTGAATAATAACTATGATTAGACGAAATTTGCTTTGTAGAGTCACTGTCAGGAAAATCATACGGAGATGTCTCATGCAGAGGACTTGCTCAGTAAATGCCAGTCATCCCTATTTTTAATTTTTGAAAATTATTAATAGAGTGTGATGCCTGCCTATGACAACCTGCTGTTTTTTTTTATTGAGAAGAATCAGGAGCTGACAGGGGTAGAAGACACAAAACAAAGGCTGGCACATGCTCTATACCAATCAAAATTGAAAGCTTCATCAGGTTTAAAGAGAACTGCTTAGATTTTTAAAATGAGGTTGCTGTTCATTGGCTGTACTTTAAAGAGCAGGACAAATGTGTCTGTAGGAAGAAGCAATGATGTGCCCTACTCAAAGCCCTTAATTAAAGTTATCTTAGATTTAGCCCTCAGGAAGTAGCGGGTCACACTAGCTAGCCTCCTTACATTTTTTTGGCTGTGAAAGTATGGGAAGTATAGAAAAAAATTTTAAAAAATTACCTATAAGCTCACCAGCCTAATAAAATAAATAAAATTTTTATTTAATTTAGCGCATTTTCTTTCACTTTTGACATATTCATAAGGCTTTTCCCCCTACAAAGTTATAATTATACTGTATATACAGACTAGTTTCTCTCTCTCTCTCTCTATATATATATATATATATAGTTAATATTACATTGAAAGCATTTCCTGTATCACGTTCTGGTTAATAACCTATTCTCTAAGAGTTCTTATGGTCAAGTTGAGAACTTGGCTTAAAGCCACTGGTGGTGATGTTTGTGCATTAGATGTAAGATATGAAGCCTGGTCAGCCCTGAAGTCAGGTGCTGTTCATTGGGATGACAGTATGCAGAGCTGGTTTGTAGTAGAACAGATGTTATTTGTCTGGAAACCGCAGAACAGCTGTTTTCCTTGTGGTGACCTGGGTAACAATGGCAAAAGTCTAACAACCAATCTTTAAACATAGCTTTATAAAAATATTGTTGAATCGAATTTATTGGACAGTGTGCTTTATTCCACTTGAGATAAATTTATGTGAAATAAGCTGTAGTTAAGGCCCCTTGGGCTAAATAATCTTAAAATCGTGGTGGATTTCTTAGGGAATAAAACTGGCTTGATATTTATTTAACAAATTCTTGTACAGCCTCTACTATGTACCCTGCTCTTCTCTAAATGCTTTATACATATTAACTTATTTATTTAGCCAGGTTTCCTCATAGTATGTGATGTTTCTTTACATAGAAGCATTAAAATTTATTTTAAAGATTTTTATTTATTTATTCATGAGAGACACACACAGAGAGAGGCAGAGTCATAGGCAGAGGGAGAAACAGGCTCCCCACAGGGAGCCTGAAGCAGGACTCAATCCCAGGACCCCCAGATCGTGACTTGAGCCAAGGGCAGATGCTCAACCACTGAGCCACCCAGAGGCCCCAGAAGCATTAAAATTTAGGGGGCCTAATGTCATAAAGACTAAATTCTAATCAATGTATTTCTGAAAGTAGAATGAAGGGTAACATTGTAACTTGCCTTCTTGAAATTAAAAAAAAAAAAGGACAGAAATAAATGAGATAAAAAAAATTCAGCAACTTGATGTCATAAATATTCTGGAGGAGTCCCCATTTCAAGTGTTCAGACCTGCTCACAGATCGTGCTGTCCCATTCAGGAAAATAAGGTCACCTTTATTAAAATCGGGCAGTTGCTACTCTTTGTTTTTTTCAAGGTTATAGACACTCAGGTTGGAAGAGAGGGTGGAAAGCTGAAATATCAGCTGGTGATAATCCCTTATCTCTAGGGAGGACCCTACTTCGGCCAGCACTCTTCACTAAGAACACGAAACTGTCCTGTTTTGAAGTATTTTGAAATTAACTTCACCTGCTCTTTTCTGGGCAGGATCCTGGACCTGCGGTTAGAGTATAATTTGTGTCTGACATTTAGCCCATGACTTCATGTTTAAGCCTCGGTGAAATAGGGACAAAAAGCTTCCCTTATTGGGATAACCTTTAACATCCATGGAGATGATGATTTAATTTGTTCACAACTCTTCTTCCCTGCATGACCCACCATTGCAAGGGAGGAAGGCATTACAGGTAATGAGGAGAGGGTAACACAAGCTATGGTGGATTCAAATCTTCTTTCTTTCCTTTCTTTCAGGTGGACAGTGCCAAGCCGTTTGGTGAGGATATTTCAGAGTATCAGTCCCAGAAGTCTAGAAGAAAACTTAAGTTTTCAGACTTGCCTTTTCCAGGGAGAAGAGGTATTCAAGTTTCTCGTTACCCCTGTACATTCCCCAGTGGGAACAAGTGCATCCTCCTCCTAAATCGTCTTTCATTCTGGGGCATCCTAAGCTTCTTTGGAAACTTGAGGCCTAATGCTCCAGTCGTGTTCAGCTGTGGAGTTTGCGGGGCAGGAGGCCCTCTGGAGCAGAGCCAGATGAGAAGCTGTCCTTGTCATGGGTCCCTTAGCTGTTGAAGGAGAGTGCTCTGAGTGTGCCATCAGGGGTGTGCTCTCTTTGCAAGTGTTTCCTGGTTGGGCTGAAAAAGCAGAGGGCAGCCTTTCCTGGTGTGAACTCCCTCAAAGGCACCACTGATAGCTAATGGAGGAGGCTCGCCATTTCTCTGGAGGGGAAAGTGGGAGATTGGTGGAGATCAGGAGGTGTAACATTTGCTCTACAAGATTCCAGGTCAGGGAGGAGGGAAGCCAATTCTACCTGAAGCGAGGCTCTGTCAGGTGAAGGCAGGGAATCCCAAATGTAGAGGTGTCAGCCCCCTTCTGTATTCTTAAACATTACTGGGGACCCCAGAGAGCTTTTGTTTATGTGGATGAGATCTGTTAATATTTAGCATATTAGAAATTAAAGCTGAGAAATTTGTAAAATGCAGGAATACATAAGCACACATCCCATTAGCCATTCAGAGCAGTGATGTCATGACACATCATGTAGCTTTTGGAAAATGCCATTGTACAGTCATGAGAGAATGGGAAAAGGCGAATCGTGTCTTAGTGTTATTAGAACAGTCTTGACCTAGCAGATCTGGAAGTTCTTGGTGACTCCTGGACCGAGAGGTCCCTGGACTGATCATATGTTGAGAGTCACCAAGTTAATGCATCCATCCTTTGGCGGCACTGACCTTATGTACCACGTCAGCTCTGAAGATCATGGCAGCTGGCCCTTTCTTGACTCTTGGTGGAACTGGACCTAGGCAGTCCCTGACAATAGGTTCCCTATTTTAGGCTTACAGGCTTATTCTTGTAAGGGGCTGCACCGTCTCTTTTGGTGACTCAAGCCAGTGTTCTTGGATCATGGTGACTATTAGCCAACTAAGGACAGAGTGCAGGGTTTGAAGCAGAAAGTGCTTTATCACCTCTGACATTTAATTTAAGTCCTTTGGATTGAAAATCACCCACGTAGCCTATAAAAGCAGCACTGTCTTCCCTATTACTGTGAAATCAAGCAACGGCAAATGTCCTTTCCCAGGGAGGACACGTTGGGCTTAATGCTGGCTGGATTACGGTGAGACTCTCATACATCACATTGGTCTTGGCCTCTGTCTTTTCTTAATCCTGGCAGGTGGAGAAATGAGGCTCCAGGGAGGTTATAGAGTGTGCACAGGTCACACTCCCAGTTTTTGGCATTTCTACATTTAGAGAAGACATTCACACCTCTGGGCTCTCAGATCCCTGGAATCTCTGTAGCTTCCAAGCCAGACCTTTGCTTAGGTCACCTGTCAGCTCATTCATCCAGGCCAAAGGTAGAATAAAGCAGTGCTTCTCGAGCTTGAGTGTGCATTTGAATCACCTGAGGATCTTGTTAAACTGTAGATTCTGATTCAGCACGGCTGGGTGGGTCTGGGTTCCTTCTTTTCGTACAAGCTTCCAGGTGATGACGTGGCTGGTCCATGGACTGCACTTTGAGAAGCAAGGGAACTAGGACAAGCCAAGCCGCCTGTGAAAGGGAGTGCTCCAAACACTAGTAAGGGGGTTTCTAGGCAACAGGCAGATTTGTGACTATAGCTGAAAAGGGCCTTAGCATTGCCAGCTCCCTGCTCAGCTGCGAGTTGGGGAGAAGAGAGCTTCTGGGACAAGACAGACAGACACACAGGTGCATGCCGAGAGGATGTAGTGATTGCCAGGCTTTAAAAAGCCCTTTTCTTATCTTCCTGCCAGTGACAGGGGAATCGGCAATCCACGAAGAGCCCCTTGTCACTGCTGAAGCCCCAAGCATAGAGGGGGAGGCCACAGTGGCCTTAGCATAGCCTTGCAAATACTTATTCAAAAAGCATTTTTTTCCCTGAATTTGGAAAAATCCAATTTAGTCTTGATTTTGCCTGTGTGTATTTAGTACTTCATTTCCTAGTCATTCTTACTGCTCTCTGGCAGTAGGTCTACTTACTTATGATTGTTTAGGATAATCATAATGATTTGCATTTTTCTTGCATTATGTTTTCCTAAGTTCTTGTCTCTTAATTGTCTCCACTTAACATTTGTGTCTACCTTGGACAAGTATGTTCGAGAGTTCCTGCATGAGTAGGATTCCATGTAAGCCAAAAAATATAAGGGGAATGTCAGAGGAGGCAGCGTGTATGAAATTTTTTTAAAAGATTTTATTTTATTTAATCATGAGAGAGAGAGAGAGAGAGGCACAGGCATAGGCAGAGGGAGAAGCAGGCTCCGTGCAGGGAGCCCAACGTGGGACTTGATCCTGGGTCTCCAGGGTCATGCCCTGGGCCGAACGCGGCGCTAAACCGCTGAGCCACCTGGGCTGCCCCAAGTGTATGAATTTTATGAGAGCCACACGGCTTTCTATTAGGCTCTGGGCACCTGGGCCAATACACGTTTCGTTTCCAGGCTATGTAAGCATTACTGAATTTATGGCTTCACTTTAGACTCTACTTTGCCCTTCCCACGTCCCTGTGTGCTATCATTAATAATATAACTTCACTGACTTCAGGAGGACAGAAATACTCATAGATAGGATAACTGTGACTCAAGGGACTTGTAAAAGTTGACAGTGTAACTTAAAAGGGAGCATTTAAATTCTTTAATAATTCAGCTGTATGTAATATTTCTGTGCTGCTGTGAAACAAATGTAACAGTAGTTTTAGGGGTAAATGGTAATAATGAGTCACTGAAACACCTCTTCCTCTTTCTTCTAGCTTCTTCTCTTGACAGCCTTGCCGTTAACGTAAAGGTAATTGTAGAAGTAGCATTTGTAAAATGATTTATTTCCAGCTCTAATGTTGGTTATTGTGCATTCCTCAATGAGTGGTAGAAGTGTATTTCTAGCAAGTGCTGCTTACAGAAATGGAATTGCATATAGTTTCACCAGAGTTTGAGAGATGCCCAAGCTCTGCTGTATGCTTTGCATTAGTTGTTTTGTTCCCTTCATGTAAGCTCTTTCCATTTGTAGAATGAATCACCACTGCATATAGCCCCAATACCTACTTTATTGGTAGGTATTCTTATTTTTTTTTCCCCAGTCAATACTTTTATAATACATAGAGGTGGTACATCACTTGTTCTTGAAGTTTGACTGGTTTGTCAAGGTGAAGGCTCAAACTTTTATGCTAAACATGAAAACAGATGGAAGCAAAGAAATGGAATATATTGTACTTTTTATGCCATGGCTTTTAAATAGTTTATTTAAAGAAATTGTATCTTTACCAAATCCAATAATCCCTTATCCTCACAAATCGAAGTTCAGGGCATGAATTAATTTGGGCTTGTTAATGTATGACAAGTGTGCAGAATTTTGGTTATCTTTCCTTGACCTTGGACTCCTGAGCATTTTGTCTCTAGCACTGCTCACTCCTGCCTCTCTTTTATTGCAGGAGCTCCCCATGGCAGGCATTTTATCAGCTTGCCCCCTTCATCATCCCATCATTCCTACCCCCGCTGCCCGCCAGCTCTAAATAAAACAAATGAGAACAAAATTACAACTAAAAAATCATACACATTCTCACCTAGGTTATCAAAGAGCCAGATGAACGGATTGTTTTAAGGAAAGATTCACCATCATCTTTAGATTCAAGTAAGTTTGGAAAACCCTCGCCCAGTTACAATAACCAAGGGGATGCTGATCTTCACCCGGAAGCTTCATTGGCCACCTTCCAGCACTCCAGATCCCCCAGCCCTCTTCTGGATCAGCCTGTTTTCCGAGAAAGGTCAGCAGCAAACACCCATCTCTTTGCTTGAAGAGTGTGTTGTGGTCTAGGAGGAGTAGAGCCTGGTCACTTTGCTGCCTTAGGGATATTTAGCTGGTGATATGAAAAATGACTATACCTCTTTAAATCTTCCTGGAAGGAAGAGTTGAGACTTTTCTTTTGCCAGTGGAAAGCATATCTCAGAATGCTTGTTAAAAAGAGGACAGAGGAGCACTTGGGTGGCTCAGTGGTTGAGCGTCTGCTTTTGGCTCAGGTCATGATCCCTGGGTCCTGGGATCGAGTCCTGCATCGGGCTCCCTGCAGGGAGTCTGCTTCTCCCTCTGTGTCTCTCATTAATAAATAAATAAAATCTTAAAAAAAAGGACAGACAGCTAACTTGGCATAAATGCTATTTAATTATCCATTTTTATCTTTCATAAAAAACAAAAGGAGTGAAAAAAATCACCCAAAGTCCTGCCGCCCAAAGACAAAGATTATTAACATGTAGATATGTTTTTTTCTTTTTCTAGACATGTTTTCTTGGTTTATTTATATGATTGTCACAAATAATGCCCCCCCCCCCCCCCCGCACTGCTACAATTGCATATATGTGGTAGGCAGGCCAGAAATCAAGAGAGGGACCTTTATTTTCCAAACTATACTATCTGGTAAGATGACCAGCTATCCACTTGGCCAGGGACTGTTCTGACTTTAGCTCTTAAAGTCCTGCATTCTGGAAAACCCTTTACTCCCAGACAAGTCAGGACAATTTGGCCACCTTAACTCCAGGAAAATGGAACAGAAGATAATATATTTTTTGTAAGATTTTATTTATTTATTCATGAGAGACACACAGAGAGAGGCAGAGACATAGAGGGAGAAGCAGACTCCCCGGAGGGGAGTGGGACTCAATCCCCAGACCCCACCATCACGCTTTGAGCCAAAGGCAGATGCTCAACCACTGAACCCACGAAGGTACCCATGGATCAAACTTCTAAACATAGAAGCAGGATCATTTATTTATTTACTTACTTACTTACTTATTTAAGATTTTACTTATTTATCCATGAGAGACACAGAAAGAGAGAGACGAGACACAGGCAGAGGGAGGAACAGGGTCCATGCAGGGAGCCCAATGTGGGAGTCAATCTCAGGACTCCAGGATCACACCCTGAGCCGAAGGCAGATGCTTATTTGCTGAGCTATCCAGGCATTCCTAGCAGGATCTGTTTTTTAGAGAAGTATCTGAAACAGTCAAGTGAAGAATCACTCACAGCCACATACTCAGAAACAAGCCATTCTTAATGTTTTGGCTGCTTTTATTGTTAGTGTGTCTTAGGCATAGGCATGAAGACACTGAAGCCACACTGTGTATACTCTTTTACATGTTACTGCTGCTTCTTGCTATTATAAATATCAACCCATGTGTTCTGTGCTCTAAGTGTCCTTTTTAGCAGCTGCATAATATTCTGACCTGGTTTCATGTATCCAGCAGGTTCAACCCTTATTCTCAGAACACGTGGAGGAAGATCCATGAAAGGGTGTGCAGTCTCCTGACATCCCACAGAGCTCAGCAACACCTACACAAGGTAGGGCTTCTGAGAAAATGAAAGCACTGCCAACAAAATAATATGGGAACGGGGACTTACTGGGGCTGCAAGGCGACAGACATCAATCAAGTAACCGTAGAGATTAATGTAAGATGGTGATGCTTCCCAGGGACGGGGGGGGCATGGTGTCCTGAGAGTGTATGAAAGGGGCTATTTGATTTGGTTGGGAATCAGGGCAGGCTTCCCTGAGGAAGAGACAAGGGAGTTCTGGTCTGAGCAATGAAGTAGCAGCTGGTGCGTGGTGCAGCACGCCCAGGCAGAGGTCCTGCAGCGAGAGGGAGCAGCGTCCTAAAGACAGTCTCCCTGGCCCGAGGCGCATCTCCTTGCACCACGCACAGGAGTCCCAGTCTGGGGAAGTTGTGGCCTGTGTGAGGTCACACAGGCCACACAGGCCACACACAGGGAAGAAGAATTTAAAAGTTAGTAAGGTGTTTTGCTGCTTGTGAGGTGTAGAGAGTGTTTCTAACCCATGGGTAGATACACCCAGTACTTTGCTGTGGGTATATAGCCATCGGACAAGTGACCTATCACCATCTCCAAAGAATTTGAATGCAGGGTTAGCAGTGCCCCCATGTCGTTGTTGTCGTCGTCGTCATCGTCAAAGGGGTTGTCTTGACTTTATTTAAACACTGGCATATGCTACATATATAGGATGCCACTTCTAAATGAGCATTTGATTTTTCACAGGCAGGGGTTGTGAATTACTTTGCTTCCTCTTGGCCAAGGCACGGGATTTGCTTTGTTAATTTCTGAGCTTTTCAAGTCGGAATCCCCTTAAAAGGTGAAAAGAAGGAAAGGAAGGGACGGGGAAGATCAGAAAAGAAGAGAATACCTGTGTGCACACGTGTGTAGTAAACTGCACATATATGGCACGTGTGGAGTCTGTGGGCCTCCTAAATGCAAAACCACGCATCTGAGTAGCATTGATTTATATGACAGGAGTAACACAGTTGCTGGATTTGCTTTTGTTACAGGAATATCCTATCTCTGAAGCAAGTTATATCTTTGAACAACCAAGCTACCTGCTGAAGAAATACCCAGTGCATGAACAGAGATATTTTTAAGCTGCTGTCTTATGTAAGTAAGCAGTTTAGTGCTGCTTATTTTGATTTGCTTAAATAATTTCCTGCTGTCAATATGAAGTAACTAGAAAACGTGTTGGACAGGAGACAGGGTGGAGACCCAAGAACCATGTTTTTCTTCCCCACAGGAGAATGACAGCACATGTATCTGTGGTCTCCCAGCCCTGTCTTGGTCTCCCTCTCTCCCCACCCTCTCTTCCCTCTTCTTTGATGGTACCTGCTCTAGCTCCTTGAACACAGGCTCTTTCCTGCCACAGGGCCTTTGCACATGTCATGCTTTCTGTCTGGAATACTGCTTCCTGACCCTGCTTGGGTCACTTCTGTTTAATCGTCTGGTCTCATGACTTTCTAGGACACTTCCTTCCCCTCCAAGGCATACCTTTTTTAGTGCCCTGCCCTTTTCTTTCCAAAGCATGATACCACTTGTGGTTATATTTTTGTATGGGTTGGTTGTTTTGTAGGGGGTTGATTGCCCCTTCTATTTGAAACCTTCCCAAGGCCAGGGACTATCTCACCAGTTTGTAGCCAGCTTTGGCACACGACAGTACATGAAATCAACTCCATATGATAGGTGTGTGCCCTGAGCAAGAACCTAACTCCCCCTGCTGCCACCCTGCTACCACCCTGGTAGCAGATGATCTTCCACTGTGGTTGGTACTCAGTAAATATATTTTTGTGAGTGTTGAATGAGGTAATGAGGCAGCTGTAGAATTCAGGTCTGTGGTCAGTAGTTGGCCATACTGTGTGGTGACATCATTCCTTAGATGCTCTCTTCTTGTCCCTTCCTACCCAGGCCTAGAATTGTGATAGCTCTTCCTTATTAAGTGCTTCCTGAGTTCCAGGAACTGGTGCAAACATTTAACGTGCATTAGATGAGTTAATATCTAATTCTTACAACACTCCTATAAAGTAGATTCTATCATTAGTTACATTTCACAGGGAAACTGAGGCATGGAGAGGCTAAGTGCCTTGTTCAAAGTCACATGGTCAGTGAATGACACAGCTAGGGATAGGAACCTGGGTGGTCTGGCTTCAGCAACCATGCTTTTATTATTTAAAAATTTTTTTAAAAAAATATTTATCTTTTAAAAAATTTGTTCATTTGAGAGAGAGAGAACAAGCAAGAGTATGAGCAGTGGGGAGAGGCAGACTCTCTGTGGAGCAGGGAGCCCAGTGGAGGATTTGATCCCAGGACCCGAGGATCATGATCTGAGCCAAAGGCAGATGCTTAACCGACTGAGCCACCCAGGTGCCCCAGCAACCATGCTTTTAAACCATTATATCCCACTGCCTCCCCAACCCCAGAGTGTGTGATAGGGGAGCCCTGGGGAGAAAGCTGAGCCCTTTGGAATCCGAGCAGGGTCTGTGGACAGTGTCCTCGAACATCTCCCATGTGCTGCGCTGTTGTATTATGCAACAACATCATCCTAGCAACATCAAAATAATTATGAATCTTTTTAAACCATAAAAGAGTGTGGGATGAAATGCTAGGTGTTCACTGCAGTCAGGCTCCTGAAAGTCTGGCTCCAGGGTCATTCATGCTTTAGGGCACAATCCACCTTGCCCCCAGGCTGGCCAGGACTCCCTGTCATCAGCACCAAGGAATGTGGAGGACGGCTCAGTAATAGCCCGTTCTGCAGGCTTCTACCTCAGAACGTTCTGCTTGGTTGATGAAAGGATGGATTCTGGGCCACTTAATCTCCAGTTGCCAAAACAGTCATCTAGGTATTTATTAGGTGGTTATATGGAACATAGCCCACATAATGACCACCACGGGAACATGGCCCACATCATTACCGAACGCTAAATTGTGTTGACTTTCAGCATGGGTGACATCAGGTTACATAAAACCAGCTGATATGTGGATGCTGATGGGAGGGGATAGAGAGAAAGGAAGAACAAAAAGTGAGTAATTTCTGTCTTTTAGAAAGTGGGTTTCCTTAGGGGTGCCTGGCTGGCTCAGTCAGTGGAGCGTGTGACTCTTGATCTCAGAGTCATGAGTTCAAGCCCCATGTTGGGGGTAGAGTTTACTTAAAAAAAAAAGAAGAAGAAAATGAGTTTCCTTCATAACACAAATTCCCAACCAGTGGTTTGGAATATGCTCGTAGGCCTTCTCTGGGAAGCTCTCCATACCACCACCCCATATCAGTAATTTTTGGGTCATGCCTTCATAGTGAGGCAGGGGTGCTGGAAGGCTGTGTTAGTGAAAATGTTCATGGTTGTAAAAAAAAAAAAATGCAGGTGATTTTGGCTTGTCTTAAGCAAGTATGGCATTTATTAGGAGGATGCCGAGTGTCTCAGTGAATCTAGGAAATATCCAAACAACCAAGATCAGGCCCCTAAGATGGGGTGGCTAGAGTCCCCCCCCCCCAATGGGTCCGGGAGAGCCCCGGAGGGAACCATCTGCAGGAGACCCAGTGGGCTCCCACTGCTTGTCCCCAGCCTTGCTTTCCTCAAGGACTTTCTCCTGCCTGTCACTCCAGTTCTTATCTCCTTGTCTCTCTACTTCTGCTCTTTCACTGTTGATTAGCTGTTCCTCTCCTGGATCCCTAGTGATCTCCAAGACTGAGGGGAAATGAAACAGTTCACTCTTACCACAGAAGGGCCAGGGATTCTTGAACCAAAAAAAACAGTAAATCCAATTGTCTGACAAGGGAACAGGTAGAAGAATTGGGCAGGAGGGGTTGGAATACATCCATTTCTCCTTATTCGGGATGTTTTGGGACTTGGTACTTTGGTATAAACTAGATTATCCTTTGTATACTTTAAAGTGGTTAAAATCTTATCAACATAAACAAAATTTTGCGTTAAATGTGCATTTTGCCACCAAAAAAAAAAATCCTATAAACCACTTCCTGCCCCCTCCCTGATTAATCCTAGTTTTCTTGGAAGGTGCGATTGTCTCTGTGTCATGGCCCATGTCAGGCATGCGCTCACTGAGGCTCCACTTTCAAGGGGCCCTCCTCTGTGACACCTTCTGGTCCCTCAGGCAGACTTGGGAACTCGGCCTTCTCCCAGAGGTGCCTTCTAGCAGCCTTGTATCATAGTTGGTTTTCCTCACGACAACCCTCCCAAGAAGGGAACAGAGACTGACCACCTGGCACCAGATCTGGCCCACCGAGGGCTCCAGCACCATGGCTGGCAGGAGCCACTTGGCTAGGGATGCTTCCAGCCAGAGGGTGGGCAAGCAACTCAGGCCTCATGTTCTCAGACCCAGACAAGAATTGTAGCACAAAAACCTCTCTAAAATTAAAGAAGAGCGAAATGGAAAGAAACCAAGAAAGAAACCGAAAAAGGAGAAAAACTAATTAAAATGCTGGTTTCTGTTCTGTCACAGCTCATTAGGCCTCCAGATCCTAGGACAGTGGCTGGTGTGGCTTCCAACCTCACTTGGCCCTAGGGGGCAGGCAGGAGCCCTTGTACTCCCGCTGACAGGGATCCCTTCCTCTCTGCAAAGGCAAAAGGCAAACCAGCCTCCCGAAGCCCAGCTCCAACCCCGAGGTCCCCCTCTCTCTGACTCAGTTGCCAGCTTCTGAGGGGCTTGTTGTTTGGTGGCTCATGGGGATTGATACAATGGATAATGCCACACCTTCCTTCATCCCAGGGCCTTGTCTAACAGACCAACAGATAGGGACCATGCACCCAAATCAGGAGTCACAATCTTGGGTCAGTGTCCTCAATGAGCACTAGAATCACCTGGGGGGGGGGTGCTCTGAAAAATCCTGATCCCTCCCTCTGGACTGATTTAATTGGAATCCTTTTGGATGGTTCCTGGAAAAGGCATTTTTATAAATGTTCTTTGGGAGATTCTGATGCACATATAGGATTGAAAATCTTGCCATTGGCAAGGCCCCCCCCCCCATTGAGATGGGAGACTTGGAACACTCCCCAATCCTATACTAACTCACTCTGTGCTCAAAACTATGCTCCTGTTCCATAGAATAGGACTGGGGCATGTTTAACAGTTCGGTGCAGTTTCTGTGCAGTCACTACGTGCCAAGGACTGTGCTGACTCCTCAGGAGGAGGACTAAGAGGTCGATGCTCAGCTTATCATCATCCTGATGTGATGCAGAGGAGGCTGGTAACTTGCTGAGGGTTGCACAGCTGCTGCATTGAGCTACCAAACGTGGCCTCCCCCTGCCCCGGGGAGGAAGAGGGGGTCCAGACACTGAGGGATCCCAGGGAGAGCTACATGCCAAGGTTGGGTTAGAATGACATCCCCTGCTTCTCCTTGGTGCTAATTGTTAGCCTTTTTCTTGGTACCACGTGTAGTGTGTGAAATTTCCAATTTCGCAGGGGAATCTGAAGGAAAGCTGGAGGAACGTCGTGAAGATCTCTCTCAAGGAGCCTACCCCCACATCCTTAGAGAAATGAACAACCATTTTTGTTATGTGTATCGAATCACCAGTGTCTCACCCCTTTCAAATCAAACCCTGTACTCAGTCTTTTGTGGCCAGGTAAGAGTCATTGATTAAAGTGTTTCCTATGTGGGGCTCATAATTTCTTTTCCAGATGGAAAATTTGTGTTATTGTTTGTGTACGTGTTTGTTTTGAGCTTCACCTAAAAAATAACCAGAGTTGGGTGGCAGGTGCTTTTTCATTTAGAAAGCACCTTTTAGAATTCTAAGGAAAGTGTCAGGATCCCTTTTCAGGTGCTGCTCATTTGTGGCACTGATTTTTTTTAAAAATATTTTATTTATTAGAGAGAGAGAGAGAAGAGAGGGCAAGTACAAGTGGGTGGAGGGGCAGAGGGAGAAGTAGATTCCCTGCTGAGGCAGAGAGCCCAATGCAGGATTTGATTCCAGGAATCTGAGATCATGACCTGAGTCCAAGGCAGATGCTTGACCGACTGAGCCACCCAGGTCCCCCACTGGATGTGTTCTTGGAAAGTTTTTACATTTTTCCTTCCTTCCTCTTCCTCTCCCTCCATCCCCCCTCCTCCTGCCCTCTTTCCCTCTCTACTTCCCTCCCTCCTTCCATCCTTCCTTTCTCAACTTACATTTTACATGAACTACAGGAAGCTGCTATTCAAAGGAATAACCTGATAAATCCTCCAGGAAAAAACTGTCAAGAAAAAAGTCAAGAAAAAAGATTTTCTCTTTTTGGTAAATCTGGTTTTTTTTTTGTTTGTGTTTTAGTGTTAGGCTTGAGTATTGACTCAAAGTCCCCTGAAAAGTTAGGAAGAGGGAGCCTTACATCTGGAGAATTCATATCTTGCTCTAAAGTTTCACTTTCTAGGACACATTTGTAAGAGGAGACTAGTTTCTTTGAATTGTAGTTTAATCCACTCCTGTCATCTACCCCTCCCCGCCCCCACCTTTTCTCCAGTGGTGCTTTAATATATTTATATGAGGAACAAAACCTTCCTCAAATATTTCTCTGAAATATTTGCTTTAATTAAATACACTCTGCAGTGGTGCTTTAGTTAAATACATTCTGCAGATACGACTGCCAAAACCAGATTTAAAATGAGCTAGAAGGGTGCCCTGGTGAAATGCTCATGTGGACTGAGGGAGCGCAAGGAGGCTGGGCCCGGGTGATGTGGGGCTGGAGATAGGCTTGAGCAGAGGGGCCTCAAAACGGGAGCCTTGGTCTTTCCTTCACATTACAACCTGGCTTTCCTCTACTATACCCTAAATCCCTTTTTGTTTTCACAGGATTCAGTGAGAGTCAAATTTCCTTCTTTCATTATGATCACAGGAATTGGTTTGTTAGGTAAATTCAGAAAACAACATTAATAATTAAAGGAGGAAAAAATCCTACAAAAACAATAAAACAAAGTTCATTTATTTTCTCTTCTCAGACTTTAAGCCAAGTAAACACAACAAGCATTTCATCCACTTCTGGAAAACACAAATGCTCAATTACACTTGCTTATCTGTTCTGGGTGTGTCTGGGACTATAGTTGTCAGTTTGCTATTTTGACGACTAGTAGTCATCAAAAGTAAAAAAAATACCATGTTACATTAAGGCTGTGACACTGTTCTCAGAAAAGGACCACTTAAAAAAGGACATAAATAGCTAGAAGAAACCCAGTTTTAGTGGATGTGTATCCCATACGAGTTATTGTTCAAATATACACCATGACTTCACTGTTTATTTTTGTTTTTCAATTTTTAAAAAACATTTTTATTTATTAGAGAGAGAGAGGGAGCATGAGCAGCAGGGTGGGCAGCGGCCAGGGAGGAGCAGAGGGAGGAGGGAGAAGTAGCTCCCTCCTGAGCAGGGAGCTGGATATGGGACTCTATCTCAGGACCCTGGGGTGATGACCTGAGCCAAAGGCAGACGTTTAACTGACTCAGCCACCCAGGTGCCCCAGTTCAATTTTTATGAAATGGTTTGAGCATAACTCCTTGATTCAGTTTAGGGATAAGATCTTAAATGCCCATTCTTTTCTGTTTTTTGTTTTGTTTGGCAAATCTTTTTCTAACTTTCTGATTAGCTAACTCTGTTGTTTAAATTATCCTTATTTTACCTTTTTATTCCTCAAGGAATTGTTTCCATTTTGAGGAATCATATTGGGACCAAGATTGCAGTTGAGAAATTTTGCTTTTGGGGTATATAATGATGTGAATAATTTTGTGATGAATTGGGATTTCTTGGGGAAGATCTGTGTCATTAAACATGATAAAAATTCCTACCTGTCTTGCTTTGATTTATTATTCCTTTTTTGACTTTCACAGTTGCAGATCTGTCTAAACCTAGACCATATTTTCCAAGCAGGTTTGAGGGGGTCTGGGTTTGCAGAGGCTCCTGGGAAAATCTCATGGGCCCTCCATGTAAAAGTCATTGTACAAAGAAGCCATTTCCCTAAGATCACTTGACTGACCCAAAGTTACCTGAAACCTACAGACTCTGAATTATAAATAAGATTTAAAAAATGAGAGTGTACATGATATGTTTAACATAAAAGAAGGTGGTTGATTTTAAATGCGTAACTGAGAGGATTTATGAGTTATATGTGCACATTCAGCTGAGCTCCTGAATGCCGGTCGCTCTTAACTTATGGTGGCCATAGCTCTACTCAATTAGTTCCATTAAAGGAGCCCTCTGGCCTCTCTGAGGGCAGCCCATGTGTGACCAGTGATCCAATGGGCACTGCTGTCCTTCTCTAAATAGGTGACCCATCCCAGCACTCCTGGGGACATGCAGGTTTGGAGAGGACCGCCTCCGGGAACCTTGCTGGCAGTGAGAAAAGCTGCACCCCCAGGCTCCCTAGGTCTGCTCCCACTGACCCCTCCACGCTGGGTCTAGGGGCAGCTGGAGCTATTTCGTTCATCAGAACAAAGAGCCTGTGCAAAATTTGGCAAAAACCGAGTCATGTCTAGGACTAGAGCTTTTCCTTGGTGCAAATGGGTCATTTTCAGGATGGGTTGTCGAAGCTGCTTCAGCAGAGTAATGAGCTCCCAGTGTGAAAGTTTCCCCTTGGGATTCTGTATCTTTTAGAGTGATCCTCCAGCACTCCTGTAAGTATGCATTTTTCTTATCTTTATTTTAGAAGTACCCTGTAGCCCATGGTATAGTATCAATCCTCTGCATCTACCTGTAAGAATCACCTACTGGGGCTCCTTTGTTCTCTGTGGCTCTGTGGTGGCCACAGCTTTGCCTCTGATAGGACAGACAATAAACATAATATATGGCTGGATTTGCTATGTCTGTGTGGGAGGGTCACACAAGGGTGAGTGGTGGGGACTCTTCATTTCAACACCAGAAACCCCAAGGTGGCAGCACTGAACACCACCATGGCCTGCCCCACATATGGTGAAGGGCATTTGGGGGCTGCTAGACTGCTGAGTCCCCAGAAGTAGGACTTTCTTTTTCTTTTCTTTCTTTGTTTTTTTTTTTGGGGGGGGAGGGGGGGTAAAGATTTATTTATTTTAGAAAGAGAGAGCATGAGTGGGAGGGGCAGAGAGAGAGAGAGAGAGAATCTCAAGCAGACTCCATGCTCAGCACGGAGTCCAACTAGGGGCTTGATTTCACAATCTTGAGAACACAGCCTGAGCGCCAAAATCAAGAGTCGGATGGGGCCAGCAAGGTGCCCCCAGAATTAGGATTTTTAAGGGAAGAGGGAGAAGACAGACCTCTGGCAAGGTAGGGAGTTTGTTCGAAGGGAAGAGAGTTGAAGGGACTCGTGTTGGGTCTGGGGCCTTTGGCTTGTGATTGGTTGGGATGCTTCTGAACCAGCCAGGCTGTGTCACTGTGTGTCCTGCATGCCTTGAATGAGTGTGGAGGGCGATTTATTCTAGGTTCTTCCACAGAGGAGGCCAGGACAGGGGCAAGACTGAGGGAGAGCTACAGTCTTGGAAAGTCCAACTTTGGGAGATTTGGGATCCTAAAGAAATGGAATAAAGCATTTTTCCCCTCTTCCTGCCTGCTCTCTTTCCATTTTTTCATTCCTTTGTTGACAGCCTCGGTTTGCCAGCGCTATATCAAGTGCTCTGCAAGGGCATTGTAGGGAGGGCTCTGGAGTGAGAGCACCTGTATTTGAATCCTGCTTCTGCCATGAAGTAAGTGACGGGCAAAAAGTGACTTAGAATCTCTTTTTTGTCTTAGTGTCCAGTCTGTGTGTAATGGAGGCAGTTACAGTATCTGTTTCATAACGTTACAGTTGTGAGCAGATGAGTTAGCATATTGAAAGCCCTTTATATCAGTGCCTGGCACAAAATAAATCTCAGTAAGTGCCAGCTGCTATTATTTGCATCTCATTTAATTACTTGAGGAAGGCATTTGTCCTCCCCCCAACTTTCTTTTTTTTTTTTCTTTTACTAAGGATACTGAGGCTCAGAAAAGCTAAGTAGTGTCAAAGCCAATTTCCAAACCCTAGCCTGTTTTGTCTCTAAACCGCATACTTTTTCTACCACTTCCTGCCACCCCCTTTGGTTGTCACCTGATTATCCCTGAGGTTTGTACCTATTGGATAATTCAACCTAAGGGGTTTGAAAAAAGGAACTCAGAACATTCCACTAGAGTGACAGGGCAACTAAGGTCTCTTGACAGAAGTTGGAACAAGGGTAACCAGTTCTTGTTTAGGGCAACAAGAGGTGCTTTCTGCTCTGCTTTCCTGTCACTGGAATATTATGTCTGTAAATAGCATTTTTAGAAAGCTAGCTCCTTTCCCCTGTCCCCAATTAAAAATCCCTGTTTCCTTTTCCTCCTCGAACTGACACTTACTTAAATTGGTATCTTGAACTGAGAGAAATATCACACCTGTTTCAGTGGGGTGACTCACAGGGGCAGATTGTGGGTAATAGGTGTCATTGCTGCAAGTACTAGATTCACAGTGAGAAAATTCGCCATCGTGAAGGTTCATATGTCATTGCATAAGGGAAGTTCAGCAGGGCGAAGGATACCATCCTTTGTTTCTTTGTTTGTTTGTTTGTTTGTTTGTTTTGGATACCATCTTTTGTTCATTGATTTGTTTGGTCTCCCAGTCCTGATGGTTCACTAAATTGATTCCACAGTCTCATATGGAATCACTCAATTTGTATTTATTAAGCTCCTTCTATGTGCTTAGTATTGTATTGTGCCGTGTGGGGCGGGGCAGGAGATGAGCTATGTAAAGAGTAGAAGATACAGCCTGTGCCCTCTCGGAGTCTCTGGACTTTACTACGGCAATGAGATGTGGCAAGTGTGACTCTCAGAGGGTGCTGCAAACTCCGATGCCTTCATGACCAGGCAGGATTCGTGACTGTCAGAAGCAGTGGGGCCTGAAATAACCATGAGTGATGGGAACTGGGTGAAATGGAGAGTACAAGTCCGCTTCCCGCAAGGTGTTCAAATTATTCAAGTTCAAATCTAAAACAACAAAAGGCTCTGTGATCTCATAAAGCTGATCTGAAGCTGAATCTTGCCTGTAGCCATGTGTTTTGACTTCTATTTAAGAATATCGAATAATGAGGGGCACCTGAGTGACTTGGTCGGGTAAACATCTGACTCTTGGTTTCCACTCAGGTTCTCTTGGGGTCGTGAGATTGAGCCCCACACCGGGCTCTGCACTCTCTATCTCTCTGCCCTTCCCTCTGCTGTCTCTCTCTCTCTCAAATAAATAAAATCTTTAAAAAATATCAAAAATGATACTGAATTATTATCAATGGTTTGTGGAACTCAATCTTATTATGTTATAATCAAGTCTTAAATTAATAAGGCAAAAAAATAAGGCAGTATCTGATTATGGACCAAGATACTGCTACTTCTCTGGGTTCTGTGAGGTTAGAAATAATATTAGAAATGATGAGGTCTTCGGGCTGAGGGCCAAGAATATTTGACAGTAAGGAATAGGAAGACCAGGTGGAGAGGAGGTTTGGGAAAAGTGAGGAAGTTGGAATCTAATGGAAGATCTATGTATGGAGAAGGAGGAAATATCCTCTAGGGATATCTTCTGAAGTGTCTTAAATATTAGGCCCCATATTTTATGCTTTATGCTATAGACAGTAAGAAGCCATTAGAGTTTGAGATAGGAAAGCAGGCTATTCATCTGATGATTATTTATTCAGGGTGGTTTGGGAGTGGGTAGAGGCTGGCAAGAGGGAGGCTATGACAAAGCCATTGAAGAAATCTGGAAATAGAATCTGGACTGGGTGGGAGGGTCATAGAGAAGAAAGGGGCCATTAACTGTCAGGGGTGGGAAGAAATAATCAAGCAGGTTATTTTAATGGTGCTTTAATGGTGCGTGGGGTGCAGGGATGGGGAGACTGGCCCCTTTAAGTCAGCTGGACTGGGCTGAGTTGCGAAGTGAAGGTGAATTATTTAATCAACAGGAATGAAGTATTGATTGAGGGAATAATTACTCTGCCAACATAAGGACACAGTGTCCTTTATTTTACAGATTTGCATTCTCCGTGACCTGAGTGAGATGAACCTCAGGACTAAGGATAAAAGAGGAGGCCAAGTCAAACCTTTTGGGGAGGGATTTTTTTTTTCATAGTGTGTTTTTGGCTGTAGGGCCAGAGCAGGGAACTTTCAGGATTACCGCAGGGTGGGATGCTCAGAGGCAGTGGGGGCCTTCTCTTGGATTTAGGTGGGGGTTTTTGTTATTCTTCTGAATCTTCTTCCTACTGTGAAGGTTTCATTGTTGTAAATAGAATTTAGAGGCTTATGAAGATGTATATTGCTTATTCAAGAAGAACACGGGAAGAGAAGACGCAGGGATGCACTATGCCCAGTTCTCATGTCTGAACAGAGGCTCAGTCTTGCCTCACTTCACAAAGAGGCAGCGCTGTACTCAGGGGCTCCCACCTGCCACCAAAGTGGAGGGATTTCAATAAATGAGTAAATCTCTGTAGACCTGCCTTGCAACCTCAAACCTTTTGAGGTTAAAGAGGGAAGACACTGTTATGATATTAGGTTTCTGTGGAAATAAAGGCAAATTTTGAAAACACAGTAGCCAATTAAAAAAAAAAGATTTGATTTACTTATTTGAGAGCATGAGAGGGAGAGCTAGCAAGCAAGCATGAGGAGGGGGAGGGGAAGAGGGAGAGGAAGAAGCAGACTCCCCACCGAGCAGGGGGCCCGACACGGGTTCAAACCCAGGCCCCCAGGATCCTGACCTGAGCTGAAGGCAGACGCTTAACCACTGAGCCACCCAGGTGCCCCCACAGTAGCCAATTTTG